ACTATGACTTGACTAAGAATCCTAGAACAAAAGTCAGCTGCGAAAAAGCACGACATGTGTTCTTTCATATCGATGAATGTAGACAATTATGGATACAAATTCAATTGAGAAAATATGGAAATTTTAAACAGTGGAAACACGAAAAATAGGAATTTCTAGAAGTATGGTACTCATGTGGAATTCTGAATCCATTACTTAACTGGTTTAAGTCATTTCTAAGCAACAAGATACAAATAAACAAAGTCGGATCTGTATTGTCTCATCCTAGGCAGATCACAAGTGGGGTTGTACAAGGTAGTGTCCTAGGACCACTTTTATTTACAGTCTACATTAACAGCATTTGTAACTGCCTCACCTAAGGTAAACTATTCCTATGTGCTGACGACCTCAAAGTCGTTTACTCCTGTTGAAGTCATGAATAAGACGGTATGATAAGTAAAATACGTTTTGAACTAAGTAGTCTCGCAACATGGTGTGCTGAATCCTGTCTAAAGTTTAACATTGACAGATACGGCTGGATTTGTATGGGCAACAGTAACCTTGACCTAACTAAAACTACCCAAGCTCAACTCAGTCATAGATCTCGGTATTAGATACTCTAGCAATAATACGGTCTGATTATGCCACACATAAAACACGGAGGCCCTTAGGATGCATAGCTCGCAATTTCTTTCGTTGTGAAACTAGGGTCTTATTATATAAAGTATATGTCCGACCTATTTTAGAATACTGCCCGTTTATTCTTATCTGACTGAGACAGAATGACAAGCCTAAATTAGAGGGAGTGCAACGGAAATTTACCTCAAGAACTCTTGGTTTAGAAAGTGGTCTCGAATACTATGAGCGTTGCGGCAGACTAAGATTAGAGCCACTCTGAAAAAGACGTCTTAAGCTAAACCTAATTTTTTACTACAAGCTAATCAATCTTTTCTTGCACTCCTCCGAGCCAATAAATAAATCTAACGCTGTCGTCAGTTACAATCTTAGAAATCATTACAACCTAGCTACTTTAGAGCATTGTCAAACTTAAATGCGGTACAACTTCTTCAATAATTTTTCAGTCATTTGGAATAGACCATCAGCTGATTTGCGTGATGCAAACACACTCGCAGTGTTCATCACCTTAGTCACCAGACTGCGCAAAGATGACAATCCATTTCTGCGTCTGACTCTTACACCCTCTTTTTCACCCTACATAGATATTTTAGGTTTATTAGACGTATAAGTTACAGCAAACTACAGCTATAAATGTTAATATTATTAATGGAAGGACATAATAAACATTTCTACACAGGACATTAATATTAGTTCACACATAATATAAAAGTTAGCATAACAGGGCTAGTTAGTTAGCTAGTGTACCAAAATAATCATAATTACTTTCACAAAATACATATATAAATTTATTAATCACTCCTTGAGGACTCCACTTGCTTTCGTCTGTGCACCCACGACCCATCCTAGATTACAGTTGTGGAATATGCCTTTACACCAATGAGAAAGTATTAATTTATAATACTTCATGATTGTAATTTATAACATAACTGATCGTGCCTTCAAAATGACTTACATTTCTTGTAAACACCCGTTTATGAGAAAATATAATCTATCATTATTGTTAGTCTACATTGAGTACAATTCACTTGTGATGTTACGATGAAAATGCTGACAAAGCTATACAAGTGTATCACTTATATTAAATTATTACCCAATTTGGACATAAATCAAGAATAAGATTCGATACCATACACACCAAAGTTATATGAGGGAATGACTACAAGCTTTATTTTTATCCCAAGTATTTATAATCCATCCAACACATACTTGGGTTTTTTTGTTAATGCGAAGACAAAATTTTTATATTTCTTGATGTGGTCCATTGAATCACTAGCTATCAGATTTTTCCCACCAACTAAAGACGAAAAGGCAGCAACCACGTAATTTAACTATAAATCAAATTTATGTAATTTAAACAATACTTTATCCATGCCTGTACAACTGGTGTATCGTACATAGGTAGGAATAAATATGTACTTTATATTATTATTATTAAATATGCTTACTAATCGTATATATAATTTATCATATTGGTGATGCTTGTAAACTGGCGTCCCTAGTGTACAAAATATCAGAATATTTTATTATAAATGAATCAGTGGTTAACAGACACATTATTATAGATCACATTTACCGACTAATTGTGATTAAATCACATGACACAAAAGTTTAAACTAACAACCAATCACGACAAAGGAGATAATTAAATCATTCGTGAAGATTAATAATAATCGTTAAAGCTCAAGCTGAAAATGTTGTCTAGATGGACAACGAATGTTTTTCAGTTAAATCAACCAGCCTGGAGAACATAACCAAATCTAGTCGCAGAGGGATTAGCTTGATTAATATAGTATCTAAAGTCCTAGGCTCAATAATACTGAGTAGACTAAGTAGTGCTCAGGAAGCACAAACACCAGAGAGCCAGGCAGGCTTTAGACCAGCAAGAGGATGTTTTGATCATATCTTCACCCTCCGACAGATTCTAGAACATAGTCATTCCTACCGGCGTCCAACAGTCATTATATTTCTTAACCTAAAGGCGGCATTCGATTCTGTCGACCGAGAGGTTCTCTGGAGCTGCTTGGCTGTAAAGGGAATGCCTAGAAAATACATTGCACTGATTAAGGCACTCTACTCATACTCATACAGCCAGGTGAGGGCTAACGGTGAGTTGTCATATGAACTGGTGACGACTAGTGGTGTCCGTCAAGGATGCCTATTATCCCCTCTTCTATTCAACTTCATCATAGATGTGTTAATGGACTTAAACCTAAGTGACTTCAGCGACTCAGGGATTGACTTGCTACCAGGGTGGGAATAATCTCGTTGACTTAGAATATGCAGACGACATAGTCCTTCTATTCTAGGACGCTGACAAAATGCAGAGTCTTCTAAACACCTTGAGCAGCAATCTACGAATGTTTGGTATGCGATTCACTCCCGCCAAATGCAAGATGATGTTACAAGACTGGACTGCAGCGACTCCTAGATTAGAAATAGGGAGTGAAGTGGTAGAGCACGTTGACCGCCTCACTTATTTGGGAAGTACCATCAGCCAACGCCAGACGGTTGATCTCTGACGAAATCTCAGCACGGATACAGAGGGCTAGTTTCGCATATGCCAGTTTACGCCGTCTGTGGTATAGACGTGATATCCAAGTATCGACCAAAGAGCAGGTGTACTGCTCATCAGTCCGCTCCGTCCTCCTTTATGGGTGTGAGACCTAGCCATTGGAAGTGGAAGACATGAAAAGATTAGCTGTTTTTGATCATAGGTACCTGAGTTCTATCTCCCGTCTGAAGTGGTATAATAGGGTAAGCAATGTTGAGGTTAGACATCTGTCGAGTGCTAGGTAAGGAGGGGAAATCAATCGACAAGGCTGTGAAGCTACGTCGACTGAGATGGATAGGACATGTGTTACGACGCATGCCTAGTCATCGCCTTCCTCGACGGGCAATGTTAGCTGATATAGGGTCAGGTTGGAAAAGAGCTAGCTAGTGGTGATCAAACCAAAACATGGCTTCACCAGTCAATGAAATCCACAACAGTTACTTTAAGCCACGTAGGAAGGTATAGACTTCCTGACCTGTTGGGGTCCTCGGGACGGTAAAAACCAATCGCTGATATGGCTCAAAATCGTTCTCAATGGCTGGCGCAGGTGCGTCCACTACTTGTGACTTATGATTTCCAATGAAACTATATAGTTCTTCGTTATTACTATTCCTTCGTCTTGCACCTCTGTTTACTGTCTCTATTATGCATTTCTTCTACTTTCTTCTCTTGCTTGTGCGCTACATGGAGTGTGGCGACTTGAACTGCCGCGCATCGGTGCAAAGTTCTTTGTAGAAACAGACAAACAGAGATATAACCAAATCAAAACCATCCACCGAGGCTACAAATCTTTACGTGAAGCATTTGAAATCTCCTAAGTGAGTGAATATATACCAGGTTGGCAAGCAATATACCAAGTGTCATCGAAACTATATTATTTCCTTAAAATAAATGTGATGATTTTCAAAAAAGAATAACGTTCCATAGAATTTTGAAAAATGTGAACATAAAATTACTACCAGCTGAATAGCTTTCATTTCATTAAGCATAAACATACACACACACACACGTGCTGCTGAACAGTTCACACAAATCATCCTAACTTCAAATCAAAGACAAAGAGATATAGGATACTGTTTTTTCTTAACCAATCCCTAACACCTAGAAAGTAAACTAGCAAACATTTTTACATACTGCCTTATATCAACTTCCATGTAGTTGAGGCATACATAGAAAGAACACAGTTAGTATACTCGTGTGTGTGTGTGTGCGAATGCGTCGTGGTGGAATAGCACATATCTGTATTGCTCCTCAGTTCATTGACTTATATAGCTAGAATTTAATCTACTGTTACCGGTATCACTTACTCTAGGTTAAGAGCAACGGCAACATAAACACATACTGTGGACAGTATGTAAAAATAACTGCGCTAAAAGGAGAATGGATTACAATTTTAATAAAAATCATTTAATTTATTGACTTAGTCAAAAAATGAAATAAAATAATAATAATAGATAGTACTTAAATAAAAAGTGAAATATTCCTACAAATAAAGCAGTGAGATAGAAAAAAAATGCAAATATCATTTTTTGACAAGAAACAAAAAGAAAAGAAGATTGTATGTCCGTTTTTGCGATTCGGAATAGAGAAAATGAGCAAAGGAAGCGTCTATAGTATAAATATGCTCGCCAAACAACAAAAAAAATAGATTGTACAGTAAGTAGTATGATGCAAGCCAGAACTAGACTGTAATGGCTTTTCGTCAGAATATATGATCGTCTTTTCTTTGTCACTCTATTTCTGTCGAAATCAAAAATATTTATTCCGCGCATACAAAATTCAGTAATCAATCACTTAATGCAGAATTTCGTAGTGTTATCGTTTTTGTAATCTAGATGTCAGCCTTGTCACCTGTCGCTTTACGTGGGACATTTCGTTTGCCTAAAATCTCCATAAGATTTTTACTCATATAATATGGGCGTTCAGCAGAACCATCATTTCGTTCCAAATCCTCTACTGTAAAAAATAACAAAACGGGCAAAAAAATAAATATTAGTAAAATGTACTTTTGTATAACAAGGAAGAAAATATGGACTTAGACAAAACAATAAGACGTAATTTGTTTGAATCGTGTAATGTATATGCGAAACACATTTCGGACAATCTGATCACACATGGACTTGTCATAGGAATATGTATATATGTAAAAATAATAAAGAGTTGAGGGGTGAGAAAATAGACATATTGAAGGTTAAAAGATTTATTACATCTATGTACTAGAAATGTTAGGTTCACATTTGAAGGCGATTGCTTTCATCAGATTGATGGTGTTGCTATGGGTAGTTTGTTACGACCCCTGTTAGCAGATATCTATATGTCGTACATTGAGAATTTATCGGAGGATTTAATGGAAAATGTACCGCTCTATAGAAGATATATCGACAACACTGTAATCATAAGTGATAAGCCTTGTTTTGCCACCTCAATTTTAAATCGAATGAATGAAGTTCAGAATGGCATATCGCTTACGTTGATAGAAGAGGAAGATGATTGTTTACCTATCCTAGAGGTATTGCTAAGCCGACGGCTTGATGGGTCTATAAAAAGATCTATTTATAGAAAACCTATCTGGACAGAACAGTATCTTAATTATCACAATTTTTGTCTTGTTCGGTACAAAAGAGCCTTAGTAAGGTGTCTCTTCAGTAGAATCCGACGAATATTCACAAACTCTGGTTGATAACAATTATCCAGACAAGTTCATAAGGAGATAATAAACTGTTCAGAATGCCAAGACCCATTCTCCAACTCGCCATTAAAAAAGATTTTTATCTCAAACGACCTTATATAGGCGATCATAGGAGCTTGATTAACTGATAAAGATTGAACGCTGATATTAAAAAGCCCTTTTCTACAGCTAAGATCAGAGTAAGTGGGAATGTGAAGCCAATATATCCATCTAGACCTTTAGAACATGCGAAAAATGATGTCATATCCCACTGTATTTACCAATTTGAATGTACGTGTGGATACAAGTATACGTAGGGAGGACTCATCGATCTCTACAAGTAAAGGCTTAAGAGTATATTCCTAAATGACTTCAGAAGTAAACTGAATCTCCAGAAACCAATAATGGTGAGAACAGACCACTTAACTCCTCCATTACGAAACATAATATAGAGACGGGACATAAAATTGATGTTAACATATATTTTAAACCTATCTATAAAACGTGTTTGAAGTGCATCCAAAGGTTTATGGAAGCCCTAGCTTGCAATTGGGAAGTTTAAACCACCTTTATGCACTCAAAAACAGTTCGTCATCACACTAAATCTTCTTTGGTAAACTTCGTTTTGATACGAACCAGGATAGACGTACTATTACCTGCCTTCTTCGGTTCAGTGACCTTCATTGTTATTTTGACCTTAAATATGTCCTTTTAACTTGACCTAAGTCTATTTTTCTCACCTCTTACCTCTTTATTAATTTCATATATATTCCTATGAAAATCCGTGTGTGATCAGATTGTTAGAAATGTGTTGTGCGAACATATTACACGATTCCGACAAAATGCGTCTTGGAATTGATAGTGTTCTCTGAGCTCCTTGGTTTAATTGCGGAGCTTTCAACGTCTTTCTGGACCAAGGAGCTCAGAGAACACTATCAATTCCAAATCATCAACCTGAGTTACAAATCTTTTCTATTATTTCAAAATACGTCTTCTTATTGATTTGTCTATATTCATAAAGGGAACTTACTGTTTTAAAATATAGACTACCATTGTATTTTATAAGTATATAAAGTTGTTTCATCTATGCACTAAAATTTCGATCCATTTTGAGGATGTAGAACAGTCAACTAACATGGTATACTTGACGAATTCACGTAGAAAGTGAAGAAATCCATAAAACAGCTTTGTATAGGCTGTTTACGCAATTATCATTTGATAGTTGTAATTACTTTTCTATGACTGGTTTGTAAGGATTAGATTTATTTTCACGAGTTGATCACGGATTGATATCAGTTAGAGAACCATTGAAAACCACGGAGTACTGAACAGCTGTCTCGTTAGCCTAGTTTAGGAATCATCAGCAGTACGCACCTACCCCAAGGGGGTTCGAACCCAGGACCTTCCGGTTGCAAGGCAAGCTCGTATACCATTCAGCCACTGGGACATAATTTATCACCTGGGTTCGAACCCCAGTGGGTGAATACTGCCAATGATTCCCAAACTAGGATGAAACAGTTGTCATTACATTTTCACAATGCATTAAAATTCACTACTAACAGGTAAGCGGATTAGTGAAAAGCCACAGATATATGAGAGACTAGAGCTTTCTCTCCACTTAAAGGATAAAAGAAATATCAGGGAAAATAGAAAAATACTGGTGGAAACTAGTTAATATTATCCATATTCTTAATCACCCACTCCAATACGACTATTGTTATCAAATAACATGCAACTGCTTTGTTCTCCTGAAGCTTTTTTTCGCACTCATGTTACCACTAGTCCATATACGTTGGAAGCTAGATAGTGACGTAGACGCATGTACTTAGTAGTTAACATCATAATATCACTAGAAGTATGAGATAAGTCGTAAAGAAGATGTAGGTTCCACAACAACATTTAGCTGCTACCTAGACAAAGGCTATTCCATGCTGCATATCCAAACTTTGATTTATCCCGTGGAAACACACAGACTGGGTATATTGCACTTAACCAAGTTAGAAGTCAAGGTTTTCACGTTTAATATCTGCTTCGAAAACAGTCCAACCATTCATCTGCTTAGATAGTGACACAACATTCCCAATAATGCATCCAAATCTTATTCAAATTACAAATTCTGTCTTAAAGACTTTAGTCTGAAATCTAAAAATCACGTTTATCAAACTTAATTGCGTGAAAATTTGCTTTAAAACTGTGAAATCTACACCTGTTAAACTGGTGATACAATGGAGTGCGAACACTTCTGTCTGTAAGACCACGCCAAGCAGATACTTCCACAACCGAAAAAAAAAGCAATTCAGTAATTTATATCATTATAGGACATTAGCCTTGATTTTATACGAATATTTATTTCACGACTTGAGAGAAACTCAGAAAAGTAGAAAGGTGATGTGGTGCAATGAGATCGACGCTAAATGGATGGGATTATGACGTGCTGATGTATCACGAATGCTCACTGGGATGGGTCTTAGAAGCCTGAGCTAATATAGCTGCATTCTCCTTTTTTTTCTACTATGAGACGGAATTCGGTGACAATCAGAAATCAAAACAACCATTAGAGCAGAAAAAAACAAAACTGACTGACTGACTTACAGAAGCATAAAAATATTGTATCCACACCCATCTCAAAGACACTTGAAAATAATGTTGCAACTAGATAGGAGGCTAGTATAATAATCTAAAATAATAGAATACAAAAAGGTATGAGGTCATTCTTAAACAAAAATAAAATACCGATATGATCAATATTTCTCCCACTGCATATTAACTGATTGCATTAAATTACCATTTTCATGTTTGGTACACTATTCCATGAATGATACTTGTGCACAAGTAACGAACTTCATGACTTACAGTTTACTGTTACATAGTTACTTTCTTATGTTTTATCCTATTATACACTAGTGTTCAAGAGCACCTTCGACAGATATTTTCCCCCCATTGCCAACGAATGGTAAAGTAGATTTGTATTCTTCACCTATTGAAATATCTGTGTTTGTTTGTGTTCACCGAAAAAAAGCTACATAATTCTTTTCTATAAACATAGAGGTGAGATAGGTCGAATCTCAATTCGACGAGTACTCACAATTAGGAGGCGTTTATTATAGTTTTGATAAGCTAAAGAATTGTAATAACCACCTATGAGAATTTTCACTGTTTAGCTTGTAAATCTAGTAGGAAATTTGTTTCGGCTGACGGATGTTGGTTTTAATTTTATAATAATTACTATTACTCCCCTGGGTTCCCAGTGGGACATAGGGCTTCAACAAGGTATTCCACTTTTTTATACTTGGTGCTATCCTCTTCAGTTAGACACACGATTGCCCATAATCTTTCATCTCCTCCTCCTCGCCACACGTCCTCCTCCATGTCACTATCGCGCCGACCACCGACTCATCGCTTCCTATTCAGATCCCACTCGAGCGACGGCCTGCATTGAGCGCGATGTCATTCGACGGCCGATACAGCTCCATTTTCTTCTAAATATTTGTTGAGCGATCGGCTTTTGGTTGGTTTGTTCCCAGCCAGAGTTTCTTGTTGCTAATTCTTTCTGGGTGGCTGGCCGTTCAGTATGGAGCCAGTGAAGACCGCTGTTGATAAAAGTCTGTAACGTGTTGGAAATGCCTTTCATGAGGCGCTGGTCAAGTTTCTGAACCATGAAGAAGAGCTGACCGATTTCACATTTGTGGTGAATAAGAATAGCTTTATTACGTACAATAAATTTACAAAATATGCACAATTTTCGGCGTAGTTTGTTGCATAATATTTACTCTTCATCCAGGAGCTTCAAGAAAAAGTTATTTCCAGTACATTAAGTGACGCAGTGATGTTAGAACTGAAGATATAAAATAATCCACTACGATATTTTTGTTTGGTGCCACATAAATGCTCAACTATAGGCTGCAAACCAATTAAAAATATGCACGAGTACATTTGGATGCCCAGAGATTCAAGCAGACCGCCAGTCATTAAGACAATATAACAGAGAGTCACTGAATAACTCATAGGATATTTATCCTTGATTTCTCATAAATATCTTTTTCAAGACTTGGGAATGCCTTGAAAATTTAGTAAAATCATACAGTGTATTAAGATGTTTGAATTCAATTATCCGAAACCAACTTTTCATATACCACTACTTCAGGGGCTGATGACACTATCCAGTTGCCTATACTCAATTAAGTGGAATGGGACTCGAACCTGTAACCCATGGGCAGCTGAATCCGAGTGCTTAAGCCAATGAGGTATATTTGCAGAGTGGAGTGTGTGGTGAGATAAATGCTAATTGATTTGGGACAGTACGTGTTGGTGTACCACGGACTCTGGATCTCAAGAGACCTTGGGACTCAATACTTGTTAAAAATTAATTCATTGGCACCAGAACTGGTGCATTTTTGCTTCTTTTACTACGGAAGAGGTACACAAAGTGACTAAGGGTCTCAAAAACATGATCTCCAAGTAGGTATTGTACACCAGACACAATTGCACCTGGCTTAGAGTATTTATTTATTGAAATAACAGAACCAAGTAAGTAAGTGGAAGACATGGAAAGACTAGCTGTCTTTGATCATAGGTACCTGCGTCTTATCTCCCGTCTGAAGTAGTATAATAGGGTAAGCAATGTTGAGGTTAGACATCTGTCGAGTGCTAGGTAAGGAGGGGCAATCAATCGACAAGGCTGTGAAGCTACGTCGACTGAGATGGATAGGACATGTGTTACGACGCATGCCTAGTCATCGCCTTCCTCGACGGGCAATGTTAGCTGATATAGGGTCAGGTTGGAAAAGAGCTAGCTAGTGGCGATCAAACCAAAACATGGCCTCACCAGTCAATGAAATCCACAACAGTTATTTTAAGCCACGTAGGAAGGTATAGACTTCCTGACCTGTTGGGGTCCTCGGGACGGTAAAAACCAATAGCTGGAAACAATCATTGATATAGCTAAAAATCGTTGTCAATAGCTGGCGCAGATGCATCCAATTCTTGTGACTTGTAATTTCCAATGAAACTATATTGTTCATCGTTATTACTATTCCTTTATCTCACACATCTGGTTACTGTCTCTATTATGCATTTCTTCTACTTTCTTCTCTTGCTTTGTGTGCTATATGGGGGGAGTGTGGCGACTTGAACTGTCGCATATCAGTGTAAAGTTATATGTCGAAAACAGATAGACAGACAAAGTAAGTAAAAAAATAAAACAAAGTAACCCACAAATATATCAAAACATGTTATGTGCAACATGAAATAGAGTGTGCATCGTAAATCTACATACTCATGCACATATATACACATACATTCATTCGAAACGAAAACCAACCCATACAAGAAGAAGAAGAAGAAAAGACAGCAAAAAAAACCTCAAGTAGTAGTACTTACACACAATGGTACAAAGGCATAATGCAGATTTGGAGGATTTAATTCATTTAGAAGTTTATTCCCTCCAAATAGTGTACCTTCCAAATAGGTATAAGCCAAACCGCCTGATAAAAATGGAATGAAATGAAATAAACTCGAGTAAAAACAAAAGCCTAAGACTATTATATGTTTATGATGTAACCGATGAAAAGCATACAGAGAGAAGTAATCTTTAAATATGAATATACACACATACATATACATATAAGAAGAAATGGACACAAGTACAACAACTACATGCAAATATTATGATTCTTTAGTATTCTATGATGAGTTATTACAAAAGAGTAACATGTAACATGAGAGACAGTACAACATACATTAAAACAATATTTGAATTGAGTCTTCTAATCTAAGGAAGGATACACTTCGTTTACAACTAATTTCACGGATGACAAATGACCACAGAGAGGTGAGAGGGGAGAGGGAGGGAGAGATGTTACACAAACATGAGAATGAACAATGTTAAGAACAATGATAATTCATGAAGTTCAAACCATACACATAGGTATGTATGTTCATGCATTACCATAGAATATGACGTAACCATTGGAAACAAGATTGCATAAAACCATGCAAACGAAGTGTCACTGTTACTACTATTGCTACTACTAGTACTTACGCCCATTGATGACAAGCATTCAGGTGACCAAACAAGACCACCACGAAGATAAAGATAAAGAGCAACTAGAAGAATAGAATAAATTTAGAATGGAAGAAATTTGATGACTTTCTAAACGAATAAAGAACTGTTCTGTGGTTTCAATTAGGCGTATGCACATACATATTCTACCAAATAAAAAGTCACTACTCATAAAGACTTCAGTGAAAACATCATTTGAGCGAATAGATCTATGTCCTTTTTCTGTGCATCTAGTTTGCTATTGAAATATCTCAGTTGAAATAATATTAACCAATTGATTTAATGCTTACACATATAGAAGCTGAAGCAAACATAAAAGCTTATTCAGATTATCTGAGAAGCTAGTACGTAGGTAATTCGGCAATGCTGTTCAAAAGATCACAATAATATCATACATAAAGAGATATCTGTCTCATCTGGACACAAACCGATCACCCTACTAAATGTTTTCCATGGATGAGGTTAGTGAAGGATAAACGTTCCTTCTAGAACATCTGCATGTACTCAGACAGGATGGAATCACTAAAGCAAATGGAAGTTCATTATGTATGTTCATCTTCCCCATGAAAACATCGAATCTGTAATCAAAGAGTTGACTAAAGACGAATCTGAAAATAACAGTAGCACTAATCTTCATCTAGGATAAATATATTTGGTCACAGGATTTCATCATGAGCTGGCATTACTAAGAGAACCATTGGAAAACCTGCAGGGAGTACTGAACAGCTATTTCGTTTGGTTTGGGACTCTTCAACAGTACGCACCCCCCATTGGAGCATTGGATAGGGTCCCAGTGGCTTAATGGTATACGAGCTCGTCTTGTAATCAGAAGGTTCCGGGCTCGAATCCCGGTGGGTGCGCACTACTGAAGAGTCCCAAACTAGGACGAAACAAGTGTCCATTACTCCCAGGTTTTCCAATGCTTCTCTAACCGATGTCAGCTGATGATGAAATCCTGTAACCAATCAAACGAAATCCCTACAAACCAATACTTGAATAAATATATTTGTTTGAATCAAGATACATGATCATCCACGGTTTTGACTGTCAAATAGCATATATCATTAGCTGACAAGTGCTTAAGTCTCTACGTCACAGATTAGTCAAGTGGAAAGTGTCATAAGCAGAATCAGATTTCGCCAGTTTCCTTTCCGAAACCAAGTGACCTTCTTGATACCATATATAGTTATCAAGAAGACAAGCTACAACTCATGTCGCTAAATATTACTCTTTGATCAACATGACTAGTTGAATACCATTGACATACACGGGTAGTACCTGGGACCAGATCAAAGTGTTTTTAACGTCGGACGACTGTTTCGCTTGTTGAAAGCCGAGTTCATCAGCGGTACACCCAATTTGACTCAGCTCAGGGATCAAAATCAGCTCAAGCCATCCCAATCCCAGATAGCTACCATTACTAGTATCAACCACATCACAATTTGTGAACTCACTTACCTCGGTAGTGGTGAAATTCCACCTCGAGCTGTGTAAATCGCAGATCGGCAATCTGACTCAATGTATTAGGAGTTCGCTGAAGTAGCTAGCTGGAATTTGGATGATCTGAATTGATCCAGCTCTTTAGACTCAGTTAAAAGGGGTACACCGCTGACAAGACCAACCCCAAATGACTGAGACGGTTTTCCGGCACTCAGATCACTCTGATCTGGCGTTAACAAGCACTTGTTTTTCACCTGAGTGGAGTCCAACTAATCATAACAAACAATAAGTAGTAGTATATGACGTTATAAATTTAAATGCTTTGAAGAAAAAAGGTACGGACATTTTTCATCTATACACATTCAAATGGCTAAATCTGTGCAGCAGGCTCGCCTCACTTACCAACAGCACCAACAACGACAAGCTTTCCAATGAAGAGGATGAAATCCGTTACCTTATCGACCACAATAAGTCTAGATATGAAGAAAAAATAATAATAATAAAGACATTAAGCGTCATACATACAACCATGACAACAATCAAAACAATAATTGTGGGAGAGAGAAAGAGAGAGGAAAATGAGCAAAAGACTTTCTGTCAACCACGTAAAAGAATTTCACTTATTCTGAGCATATATAATCAATTCTCCAGTTAACCATAAAACATTTAAGGATAAACAATGTGTTTCTTCATCATAGCATATACACAATATCCACTGACGACTACGATATATATAAACAAACTAATTTTAAGAAATTTAACGGCTTAGAATTAATATTCAATAATATGTCAACAAGTACATATATATTCAGTTGTAACTGTATTCCCTACTATTTTCACTCTACATAAACATATAGAGTAGATACATGACTACGTTGTCAACAACAGAAACATAGACAGGTTGATCCTTAAAACCCTCATAAAGTGTTTTAAAGTAGTGCAATTCATAAGAAATGAATGTGAATAAATCAAAGTGAGTGTTCATGAATCCTAAAAGTCAGTAATAATGCTTTTACTGCAGATTCCCTTGAAAATGAGAATTTCAAAGTCAAACACACACACACACCCCTTCATAACTCATTAACGAACGAGGATGTCAAATCGAGAATCGGGAAGGCGAGAAACACATTCATCAACCTGAAACCAATCTTGAAATCTTCGTCCCTCACCATCAACAACAAAACTTGGTCGGATTTTCAATACAAACATCAAGTCAGTTCTTCTATACGGATCAAAAACTTGGCGAGCGGGTCACAAAGAATATTTCCAACAGCCTGTTGCAGACCAGACCTATATCAACAACTGCCTTCGCTGGATCTATACTGAAGATCAGATGGCCAGGCCGAAAAGAATCACCAACAAGAAACTATGGGAACAAACAAAAAAGAACTGATCCCCAACCAACAAATATACAGGAGAAAGTGGATGGATTGGATGGACCACTCGCTGAGGAGGCCGGTTGGTGACATCGCGAGCGCGTCAGGCCGTTGCTCGAGTGGAACCAGACCGAAAGGGAAGCGGCGAGTGGGTAGTCAGTGCAAGGGTGACATGGAGGAGATCGTGTGAAGAGGAGTTAAAAGAGTATGGACTAACATGGATGCAGCTGAAAAGTACAGCAGAAGACAGAAGCAAGTGGAGATATGCAGTTGAAGCCCTATGTTCCACTAGGAACCCAAGGGAACAATAATAATATTATTATTTGTCAGTATTATCAATCACTTGAAATCCAAAAACATGTATTGATGACGGGTCGATCGTGAAAACAACAGTCTTAGGAAAGAAACAACGTGGAACACTATCTACCCAGGCTAGCAAACTGATAACAGAACTGTGTCTATAGTTGGATAACAGAGCATCTCGTCAACTCAAGGTACTTAGCAATTTTTTTTTGAGAAATTCAAACCATTCAAACCTTTTTAATAGGAGTGAAATCAAGAAAACTAAAACATTAGCTACCTAGAAATTCAAACTAAAATTATGTATCCCAAAGAAGTACATCAAACAATTGTCATCATCACAGCCATCATAAACAGTTTAATTTCTCAAGAAAATCATCGATTATCTGACTTTGTTTTTTATACGAAATTTCTGTTCCTTTTAGTTGTTATTCATTTATTTTTATTCCTTTACGCTCCCAATAGAACATAGGGCTTCAAGCTAGAGGCTTGAAGTTTCGGTAGTAGTAGTATTCATTTTTTACGGTATGGGGTTGCTAGCCCCATGCCCAACCTTCCCTCTTTACCAGTCCCATTACTGGCTTAGCGAGGTGAAGCAGCGTATCGGTCGGGGGTCGAACTCCGGAACACATGAGGCGTGGTTGGTGAGCATTTTACCAATGTGCCACCGACTCTGTTGTTATTATTATACTTTAATCCATATTCGTATTATGACTTCTGGTAGGGAATAATTTGCGAACTTTCTCACCCTTTTGTTTTATTCTCATGAATATACATACAGCTTACTTGATGCTTTCATCGAGAATTTTACTGCTTCTCCTCAGCCATTATCAATATTCAAATGACGTCACATAGAAGATAATTCTAATGGATTAATCTCTGTCGATTGAAGAATCATAGCTATTAGCTAGTTGCGTTAGCAAATATCGAGTGACGTCATTAAAAAAAAAGAAAGAACATTACCAAATACAGCTACTTTTGTCTACTCTTAAACAACTTGTCTATGGCTGTCTTCACTATATGCTATGTCACGTGTATAAAACAAAAAAGTACAAATAAGAATGGAAAAAAAGGAATCGTAAGGATTTCCCGTGATATATATGAAGGGGCAACCTTTATGCGATATCACTTAAAAACTAGTTGTGATTTCTTATGATTGTATCAAAGTACATCCAACATAAATAATTCGAAAAACACATATTCATGACGTCATACACTATTGAGTAGTTGTATACCATTCACATTAGCCAATCGCAATGCTTGGCCAACCAAATCGAATTGATGAAGAAAGCATTGGAAGGCAGTATAGTTCATTTTTGGCCAAGTGGGCCTAAAGAGCTGATTCAATTCACACCACTTGAATTATAGTTAGCCACTAGGGTGAACTCGTAATTTGCAATTTACACAGTTTCAGATGAAATTTCATCACAGTCTATACTGATTCGACTCCCTGAGCTGACATAAACCAGGTGGTGGTACACCACTAATAAGCTCAGCTCTAAATGAGCTATGCGACTGGCCGGTGTGTTGAGATTACTTCGATCTGACTAGTGAGTATTGTCAATCAGTAGTATGTGACATCATGCATTTATGCTTGACTTTGTTGATTGTCATTCAATGGAATTGTGATCGAAATAATTTCTGTTGGCAAAAGGAAACTGTGGTGAAATTCCACCTTCTCGAACTGTGTCTGTAAATTGTGAAATTGATTTATGCAAATGCGTCGATGACACAGCGGTAGAATGCTCGCCAAACGCGCCTCATGTGATCCCTGGTTCGATCCTCGGCCACCGACGCACTCCTTTACTTCGTCAAACCAGTATAAGACTGGCAAAGAAGGTAGGTTGGGCATGGGATTAACGACTTCATCACTGCATAAAAATAAACACCACTGCTATCGGAACTTCAAGCCTATAGCTTGAAGCCCTATGTTCCACTGGGAAAGTAAAGAAATAAAATTAAACTTAAAAATTTCCATTACTCTTCTCGGTGATATTATTCTCAAGCTGTACAGTCGCATATATATTTTAAATTGTCTTAGCAACAAAATAAATATTTCCATATATTTTTCATTAGAAATATAAACTTTAGATAGCAAATTTCAATAATTGATTAGAAACTAAATTAAAATTGAATAGGCAAATCGAGTGACGTAATTTAAATGACGGAGTTGAGTAGAGCTCATTTAAAATTAAAAGTTAACGAAAGTTAAGGTAACAACAGTGGTAATAAGGGATAGAGATTTAATTGGAGGTGGGGGAAGAAAATAATACAATTAAGAAACAACCAAAAACAAAAATTACGTATTTGGTGTTAAGATATATCAGATCCTTTGATTGGACACTAGTAACTAGTGTGACGTGTCTAGTCCTTTCTTTGGTGCAAACTGAATTCTATCAGTCAGGTTTGCAATGTGGCCACCATTGCCTCCAACTATCTAATATCATCAAATCAATGTGCACCGAGATGGCGAGCTACATAGAATGGTTGCCACATTGCAAACCTGACTGATAGAATTCAGTCTGCACCAAAGAGAAAACTAGACACGTCACACTAGTTACTAGTGTCCAATCTAACTACTCATTAAAGTCCTACAGGAGGTCAACCGCGATCCCGAATAGCTCAGTGGTAACGCCTCTGACTGCAGCACTGGGTGACGCGGGTTCGAATCTCAGAAGGGTTATGAGTTCCTTCAAGGTTGCAGATACGCCTTGCTGACGAATGCCAACTAGCACGAAACCTAGGTCCAAGGGTTCCTGCAGATTGCCTCCAACTATCTGATATCGCATATCAGGTCCATTGCAGATTTAATGACTGAAAAAACTTCTTTTGCACGCAAAGTTCAGGATTTAGCATGTGAATCACCATTGATTCTGTGGTTTGAAGAAGCTTCATTCGTACTTTTTTAGCAAGATGCTCACGCATTCTGTAAGTGACTTTAAAGTTACTTTGTGGGTTTGCTTGGTGTCCAGATTCACTCGAGTGATCCAGTATAGAAATTCGGGGGGACCTTTTTTTCGCCTTTGGAAAACCATGAAAGTTGGTAAGTGTTCGATGATACCTCTGGATAGCAAACACTAGGTACAGCTGACATACTTAACTCAACACGAGATGGTGAATTGGTAGATGCACATTAATAAGGCCAACAGTGGTAGCTTATCCACGTTCACGTTCGTGCGAATCATTAGTTTCTTAGAGAAGGTTGATCGGAGTTCAGCCGCAAAGAAGGATTTCTTCAGTGAACGCCACAGGCAGTTTCTCAGTATTTCTGCTGAAAAGTTTCCATTGAATTGTAGATTCAGGTAGAGATGCCTTTTGAGAGCAGGAAGAGCAGGTGGTTTAAGTGGTTTAGGTTTCATGGATTTCGTGATGAAACGGTCTGGGTAACCATTTTCGACAAGGATTCTCATCAGAGTGTTTAGCTCCACTTTCATAGTATATAGGCTGCAAATTCTGAGGATTCTATGGCTCAATGAACGGATCAGCTTGTTTGTTATATTATTTTCTTCACTCAACCCCTCCTGTTAAATCCTTACACATTATTACCAGTGTTGTTAACTTGACTGTCAGGTTTTGTTTTGCATTTAGGGGCACCCAACTGTGAAATCTAGTGAATTAACCGTTCCATGTTGGTTTTCTGTAGAGGGGTCTTTTCAGTGTTCCATCCTGTTCACGTCTGGTTTATTGGACATCTAGAAGAGATATTTGCGTGTTCGATTCCCTCTGTAGTGTGAACTGAATTGGTGGTTGGCAGCTGTTGAAGAAGTCCAAGATGTTCTCCAAATTCTTCTCATTGTCAGAGATAATAAAAGTGTCCTTCACACACCTCTTGTAAAAGGCAAAGTTGTCAATCACTTTTTGTAGATATGTATTTTCTAGTTTTGACATGAAAGTCTACAATATGCAAATAGTAAAGCTAAATCTCAAAGGTATTCAACAGTATATACTGGTCTTCAAAGTAAACAACATCGATAAGCAGATAAAAAGACCCAAGCAAGAAACTTGATGGATCTGGACTTCGCCGATGATATATGTCTGATTTCCCACAAACTGGAAGATATGCAAATGAAAAGCAACAAGTTGGCACAAGAAGCATCAAAGATAGGACTACAGGTGAATATAGATAAAACAGAGGTGATCAAGATTCCCTGGCCAACAGTAACAGACAACAGTCAGCATAAATAGGAGAAATTTGAAAGGAGCAACGTTCTTTACCTACCTACCTAACTGGGAAGCATCCTTTCAACTATAAATGGACGGAACTAATGAGGATATCAAAGCGGGGACTGGAAAAGCGAGGCAAGCTTTCATTGCTCTCAAGCTTGTGTGGAGGTCAACAGCATTCCTTAGTCTGGAAAATAAGATCCGGATTTTCAAATCCAATATGAAGTCAGTGCTACTTGCTATACGGATCAAAAACTTCGGGTGTCATGAAGGGTATTTCGAGCAAGCTAAAAAACTTCATCAACAGCTGTCCTCGCTCAATACTACTCAAGATCAGATGGCTGGCCAGAAAGGACTAGCAACAGGGGTCTCTAGGCGCAAATCGACTAGGAATCGATTGTGCAAGAAATATGCAGGAAGAAATCGAGGTGGATTGGCCATACTCTGAGAAAACAAACCATCAAGTGACATCACACGCCAGGCCATCGCTGAAGTGGAAACCGGATGGGAAGCGGTGAGTCGGTCGTTAGTGAGAGGGTGACATGGAGGAGGTCATGTGAAGAGGAGATGAAAGCATGTGGGCAGACGTGGGGGAAGGTTAAAACTTCTGAGAATCGAACGCAATGGAGATGTGCGGCTGAAGCCCTGTGTTCCTCTAGGAACTAAAGGAAATAATAATCATAATAATAAGCAGATGAAACAAACTATACATATATGCTGTGGAAACAAATAATAATCATAATAAATACATCAATCACTACCCAAAATGTATGTGACTGATGCAAACCAATATAATATATAGGAGAATTGAATCTGAAATATACTTATATTAACACATCAGTTTCAAAGAAGATTAACAACTGAAGAGAAGAAGTTAAAGATAAAATAAAAAGTGAATTACTGAGATATAAGATTATAGAATATGGGGAACAGTGTACTACTGTTATTTCATTAGAAGTACTATTGTATATCACACAGTTAGTTGTGCATGATTGACAAGAAATATAAACAAAATCATGAAACATGTGAATAAAGGATAGGAGGAAGCAATATGTTGTGCCTCACGTAAATTGATGACAATCCCTTGGAGACGGGGGGAGGGGTATATATATATATATATCAAAAGTATATCAAATTGCAGCAGTTTTCCACATACATTAAAATAAACCTGGCAACATACCGTTTTACCTATAACTTTTATATAGAAAAAAAGATAAAATTTAATATTTTAAAAGCACCTGATTACATTGCGTGATAGTAAAGACAGTGCTGAACGAGATGCAGAACAAAAGCTTTGACCATAGATGGCTATCTAAAAAGGGGACAGGAAACAGAAAGTAATATGGTGATCAGGATATTGGATGAAAACGTTTACAGTTTATAAACAAATGAGACGCATAGAGTTATAAGTGGTTCAAGAAAAAAGAAATTATAATACTTGGCATAGGATGCAATGTGTTGTCATCTAATTTTTCCCCAAAATAATTTTATTTGATAAAAGCACACAGTAATAGAGCATTATTTACTGGTCCGATACACTATGAGGAGATAGGCCAGCTGTTCAACTGGGATCTGTATTGGGAACGACGACTTGCGCATGGGTCCGAAGGTGACACAGAGATCGTGTGAGAAGTAGTTAAGAGTACATGGGCTATCGTGGAAACAAATACAGAAGACTGTAATTTTGTCTCTCCCTTGGCCTAGGTAAAGTCTAATTAACCCCCCCCCTCACCTTTCCTTATTTTCCATTTCCTTCGTCCTTTTATGATATTTATTTAAACTCTGATTATCTGTCCACTTCACCTTAAGTATTGCGTATATTTTAAGATTTGACCTAATTTACTTATCGAATTGTCTACATACCTTCGTTATTCTTACTGCCATGTGAATCAACCTTATTATCGTCATTTTGTTATCATTATAATGATTATTATTACTAACGTCCAAAACATTGACCACAACGTCATTATCATTATTATTTGATCCACACACTCACCGTGATTGGTTAAAAATTTTATACATAAATCTATTTAAATTAGGGTACAGCTTGAAGAAGATCTAATAAGAGATAAGTCTAGAAACATTATAAGAATGCTATCACATCTTAAAATCTCAACATTAACATTCAGAATAACAGAATATTTAAAAATCCATTTCAAATTCTTTACTAAAGATAGAATTAAATGAACTTTGGTTATTTTGAAGAAAACACAAACGCATTCTTATAGCATAATTATTTGATTAACTAACTTGAAATAAAATCTGACTTTATGTATTTCAAAAGTATAATACTAAAACCACATACATCGGAATAGATATTATTTTATTATTTAGACGCAGAAAAACTTGGTACAATATGGCAACAAGAAGATGCGCCACATAATAATAATAATAATAAAACAACCCAGATCAAAAGTAAAAATACAGGTGGGGAACGGATAAAGAACTTCATCACGAAGGGAAACAGTCATACTTAACAAGTCCAAACAGTATTCATCCACCATCGTCGGGAATGGAAGAAAGAGGGAAATTGCAACACGTTCGCCATTGATTACGATTCTTGGCCATATCCGATAACGTTTCGAGCCATCGATTCGAGCTGTTTCTCGGACTCCAGCCAGGGAATCGTGACGCACTAATCGATGCTAACCTAGCACAAACATCCTTCATCCCACGATACCACGTCACGGACTGACCACCCCTCCGCCTTTTCCATCCCGTCACAGAGCTGGCTAGCGAACAGAGACCTGTTCGGAAGCCTCTGGGATGATATTCACAGCACATATCCAAGCCACTAGAGCCGGTGTCTTCAGATGACGACACTCAACTGTGTGCAGACAAACGCCGCCGAACCTCAGAATTACTCACGCGATGATGCCATCGAACGCAAGCAATCCTGCGGAAACAGCGATGATCGAATACACAGAGCCACCACACATCTTCAGCTCGAAGTGTCCAGGCTTCACAGGCATAGAGTGAGACAGCCCTCACCGAAGCATTGTATACCCGACCCTTGACAGCCAGGATAGCGTCGCAACGGCACTAGAGGTGGCTTAAGTTGATGTATGCCACCCTAGGCTTCGTGATACGGCTGGAAATCTCATTCGTCAACCCTCCGCCAGCACTCACACAACTACCCAGGTACATAAACTTATCAGCAACTTCAAGCGGTTCACCCGAGAGAGTGACTGTAGGTACAGGCTCCTGCCAATCTTGTAACAGTATTTTGCACTTAGACGGCGCAAAACACATACCATACTAACAGACACTAATCACCATCTGATTAAGTGCAATTTGGGCAGCCTGCAGGCTACTGCACAGTAAGACGATGTCGTCTGCATACTCGAGGTCGAAAAGTCTATCTCCAGGTAGCAGATCTACGCCACCTTCATACATATCCTTCAGAGCTGACTCCAGAATGTCATCGATGGCAAAGTTAAAGAGAAATGGAGAGATTGGGCAACCCCGTCTAACCCACTGTTGCTTGGGAACAGTGATGATAGTTGGTTGTATGCCCTCACTCTACCTGAGGTGTTTCTGTACAGAGCTTTCAGGATGTTCAAAAACTTCTCAGGTACACACCTCTCTAACAGAAATTTTTGTCCAACGAATCAAAGACAGCCCTAATATCAAGAAACACAAAGATTGTTGACCTGCAACACGTGTGGAGGGGTTCCAACAACTGACGAAGGGTGAACACATGATCAATACATCCACAATCTGAACGAAACCCAGCCTGCTTTTCGCGGATCAATCCCTCACGTATTTTGCACAGCTTGTGAAGCAAGACAGCAGTCACTATTTTAGACGCAACTGGTAGCAGACTGACTGTCACATGAATTACGTCGACCCTTTTTAAAGATGGGGACGACAATGGCTTCTTTCCACATAGATGGTACACTCTCTGTCTCCCACACCTTCCTGAACAACCCAGTTAGAGCCATTGTGAGAGTCTCGCCATCATCTTTAATAAAAAGAACCAGGGGTGGATTGTCTGGGCATCGAGATACATAAGCTGAAAAATACAACAATCACAAATAAAGTAGTATAGCAAATATAGTAAAATAAAATGGACCTTATTTAAAAATGAAAATACAAACGACGATACAGTGATGAATAAAACTTTGAATAAACCTATACAAATTGACAGACCTCGAAAAGTTAAAGTCAGTGAGCATTTCTCTCTCTCTAACAGAGACAGTGCCTGCGTTAAAGTTGAGCTAACAAAAACACACCTCCCTCATTTTATTGCCTATAATTTCTCTTGTTCACTTTGTTTTAATCTGATAAAACACGACCTTTAACGGCATTGTTCATTCTGGTGAGTACTTTAAAATGTTTGCAACCTGCTGATTCGTAAGCTCCTACAAAAACTTCAGAAAAAGCACGATCATGGGTGTAAGCGTAGCTCAGTATTCCCCTGAGATTTCAAGTACAAACTGCCAACAACATTAAAGTCAATAAAGAGACTAAAAACAATTGAAAAGACAAAAAACACTTACCATAATAAAAGCATTTCGATTGAGAAATCGTAGAAAAGTTTCAAGTAGCCAAAAGCAACAACATAAACATTTGATGAAAAATTTAGCTATAGGATTATCAGATTTTTTTAATTTCGTACTAAGATATTCAAGGACGGCACGAAGCCATTGTAACAAAGCGATTAGAAATGATCCCAATGCCAATGAACCGATATGATAGAAAGCTGCTCGAAAGAAACTTGTTAACAATGGACAATTTGACATTGATTTTTGATCAAGACGTGAAAAATAGTACTCAGCGAATGTTCCAGCTAAAGTCATCTGAGTAAGTGATCTGACAAAATTGACTAACCAAAAGAACATGAAGAGATTGAACAGTTGTAGATAGATTGTGTACCTACGATGAAGAAGAAAGTAATGATAAAAGGATGACATTAGAAAATGCAAAGAGGGCAGTGTACAAATAGTATTTGAAATAATGAGAAATGGAGTGCTCAGTGCAATTATATGATGAATCAATATTAGAAACTCGTCAAACTGACAACCAATGGGGATATTTAAATTATCCACAAATACATGAATTCTACAACTTTTAATCTATTTTAAATTGTAATCACTGATCCATATCAAAATCACGATAGCCATAATAGTGCATTCCTTTGCGTTCTGAATGGAATATAGGGCCTCAAAACTTGAGATCTAAAGGTTCAGTAGCGGTAGGATTACTAGCCTCATACCCAACCTTCCTTGTTTATTGAGCTTACTACAGCCTAAATATGAGGTTAAGAAGTGCGCCACCCGGGAGTTGAATCTGAACATCATGCGTGGTTGGCGGACATTCTACCACTGGAACACCGACACAATCCCATTCATCTTAACTCAAAGACCGCCTGTAATTTCATCCAGGTGGCAATGAGCCACATCTATTGTGTGAGGGCTAGTAATACTACTTAGCTGTGTAGACCTCGATAGACACAGAACGGTTCGAACCAATGACCCACTACCGGCTGGAATTCTAGTAAGCAGACAAAAGAGTGAAGGTCCCACAATATTAATGGAAGGTTAACGATTATGGAGTTATAACGTAATATTTTCTTTTAAACACTCAGACATCACATATGTAGATAGGAAATAACGACGACGTTAAGGAAAATAGTAAGAAACTATATTTTTAAAATGATGGCGTATGTTGTAATTGATGAAAACAATGACTGTGATAGCATTTAATTTAATCTTTTTTTACATATACATCAGTTAAGCTGTTACTGTCACAAGTACTGCTCATACGAATGACCAAAAATCCACTTACTTTCGATCGCCATAATAGAGAAAGCGACAGGCTTTGCCAGCGGAATTGTTTAACTATAATAGGGGAGAAAGAAAGTAGCTTAATTAGGAAAGGTATACAGCAGTAGTGATGTGTCTGATTATTATTGTTATTTATTATTATTCACTTGGTTTCCGAGTGGAAACACAGCGCTTCAACAAGCAAGGTTCCACTTTCCTCTATTTTCTGCCATCCTCTTCAGCTAGGTCCACGATTGCCCGCATTCCTTCAACTGCACTTCGCACGATCTCCTTTATGTCATCCTCGGAAGACTCACTCGTCACTCCTCGGGATATTTTCCATTGCTGTCTGTAGTTGTTTATAAACGTCTTCCTTCTTTTCTTCCTCCGCGTTGTTCGTTGCACTATGCGTAGTATTGGATAATTTTAACCTCACAGCCTTTCTGCCACCGCATTAGGGCTTTGGCTGACACTGGTGACGTGATAGCTACTCAAAGCCTTAGTGTGGTCGTCGTTTTCGTCTAGTGACCAGAGTAGATTACTGGCTCTCCAGTTGTTAGTTTTGACGATCCACACGCATTCCATCCGCTCTGGCAGATTTCCATCACTTCTATACCATATCTTCCTGGGTAGCCCTCCCGGTCTTGTACATTGTACGGACATTCCACGTCCCCATTCTTATTCTTGCTTTCATCAAGAGAGAGATAGAGAAGACACATCGGCCGATTGACTGGCTTCTTGAGGGTTTTCACCAGCTCATTGCGTCATTTCGCCTCTCCGATTCCAGCGAAGAAAAATTTTTTGTATTTTTGTTATGCGCTGAAGTTTCTGTAACAGGTTGACTGATTTTCTGGGGATAGGGTCGCTAACTGCACGCCCAACTCTCCTTCTTTACCCGAACTTGAGACTGGCCAGAAAACTAGCGAGCTAGTTAACTAGGCGAGGTTGTGATTTGCATTAGGAAATTTTAATTCATAGTGTGACCATGTGCAATAGCCTTGGGGTTACAGACGACTAATAATTTAACAGCTGATAATTGAACGTGAGGTGAAGAATACATATTGGCGCGGTTCAACACGCTTCACCACCAGAACTATGAGACCTAGTCAGGCATGAAAATCCGCAACCAATAGTTTTATTTCATCCTCAATTGTCATCCATTAAAATTTTGACTATCTACAAAAACTTCAATAATCTTCAATCAATCAACCTGTCCAAAGTGGCAATTAAACAAATTCACTTTTCTGCAAAGTTCTCAGTTGATACATCAATCAGTCTTAAAGACCAAAAGCCAAAATGATAAGCATTTTAGGAGTAGGAAATAGTGTAGCTGCTGCATATTGATTTAATACACCATCAGTGTAGAAATCCTGATCAACTAGAATCAACACAGGTAGTGACAACTAGTAGTAGTAGTATTAACCAAGTGAATAGAAAACTTGACAGTGTTATTCAACCACCAATGTTTGCGATCGTTTTTTTTTAAATCAGCTGACTATCAGTATCAATATTAGGTGACGCATATAATAAACAAAAAACCAACATTTATAAACATGTTATATATTTTGAAAGTTACACAAAATATTTACTTATTGTAACTTGAATGGTATTTTGTACGTCTACATTTATCGAACGCAAAAGGTCAAATCCATACATTCTACATATATAAAAATACCCTTCATAATAGAAAACCCACCAACACTCACTCTTATATTACTAGACCATGTTCAAGGGGGAACAAATGGTATCATTTTGTCAGGCCGACCGTTGATATCAGGTGTACGTCGGCCGGGGATCGAACTCCGGACCATGTGTATGGTCGGCGAAAGTCCTGACCACCGACAACATTAATGGTAATTAAGTAGTACCTACCATCAGCCCACTCATAACATGTGTGACTCATAGCATAGATCATGAGAAATCTGATCCGCGTAACAGAAGTACAAAAACAATGAGTAATAAGCATTTAAACAATTCCAAGAGAATTAGCAAGTATATATAACCTTTTTTTCTTTTTCCTTCTCTTTTATTCGTCACATTCCAAGTGGAACTTTGGGTTTTCAGCTTTTCAAGTTTCAGTAGCGATAGTGCTGTTTTTATGAGGTGTAGTTTTGCTAGTCTCACTCCCAATTTACCATCCTTCTCCAAGCTCACTATCAACTAGTAAACTAGACAATGTTCAGAAATGCGGTGGTCAGGAAGCGAGCAAGGACCACCTGTGGTTGAAAAGCATTCTACCATTAAACCAGCCAGTCACACTTCCTAATACAAACTTCCGACATGCTTTTATTAAATGAGTCATCATCAATGTGTAGTATGTACTTTGCGCCGTCTAAGTGCAAAGTACTGTTACACGGTTGGCAGGAGACTGTACCTGCAGTCACTCTCTCGGGTGAACCGCTTGAAGTTGTCGATAAGTTTGTGTATCTGGGTAGTTGTGTGAGTGCTGGTGGAAGAGCGACGGATGAGATTTCCAACCGTATAATGAAGGCTAGGGTAGCATACATCAACTTGAGCCACCTCTGGCGCCGTCGCGACGTTAAACTGGCTGTCAAGTTCGGGTATACAATGCTTCGGTGCGGGCTGCCCTGCTCTACGCCTGTGAAACCTGGCCTCTCCGAGTAGGCTGAGGATGTGTGGCGACTCTGCGTGTTCGATCATCGCTGTTTCCGCAGGATTGCTTGCGTTCGATGGCATCATCGCGTGAGTAATTCTGAGGTTCGGCGGCGTGTGTTTGAACACAGTGGAGATCACCATTCATTGAGTGTAGTCATCTGGAAACACCGGCTCTAGTGGCTTGGATATGTGCTGGGAATGTCATCCCACAGGCTTCCGTACAGGTCTCTGTTCGCTAACCAGCCCTGGGACGGGATGGAAAAGACGGAGAGGTGGTCAGTCCATGACGTAGCGTCGTGGGATGAAGGATATTTGTGCTAGATTAGCATAGCCCGACCGAAAGCTGCTACCTTGACGTGGTGGTCGGGCTTGAACACCGCAATGACCTAATCAAGCTATACTGGCTGAGACTTATGTCTCTTGAGGTTCTACCATGCCAGGCAGGTTGTTTGGATAGCGGTTAAACAAAAAGCAGCTACCCAATCCAACATCATGTCCAATACAAAATTACAAAATTTCATGCCGGATCGGCCGTGGCCCGGATTAACAACGACCGCGCTTCCTGCTGCCGTGTCACAGGGCGGGAGTGATAAATCTGCTACTGAGACACACAAAACAAAAAGAACAAACAAAAACAGGCCGCGTGTGACCGGCCTCAAGCAGTTGTCCCCTGGGCTCTGCGGTCACGCAACCAACTTCCACGGTGTGGGCAGCCGGGAAGTAACAATCGCCCTCACAATCCGAAATGCACACGAAACCTCTCTATTACTCACTCATCTTTGTCTTCATCTTCATCTCTATCATCTTGCCTTCCTTCCACTGATGCAACTCCTCGACTTGATAGCTCTCCACTTCCTCTCCACTCTGCGTCCACTAAAAACGATGGAAGCCAAAAAACCACCACCGACAGCCTCTTAAAGCCGCGCCACCAATTTCATATAGGAGCTCTTAATGTTAGGACACTTTGCCAAATAGGACAACAAGCATCACTAGCCAAGACCCTGGCATCACGAGCCATTGATGTATGCTGTGTTTCAGAAACACGCATACAAGACCCAAGTGTGGTTATTCACCTAACCCCACCTGGCCAACAGGTTGAATCTGCAAAATTCACCTTGAGGGTGTCAGGAGATGCCACAGCTAGTTCACGAGGATTAGCTGGCGTAGGGATAGCTTTGAGTACTAGGGCAGAAAAGACATTGCTTGACTGGATCCCGGTAGATAGCCGAATGTGTGCTGTCCGCCTGAACGGATCAGTAAGAAGGAGGAAGGACTGCACTACTCGCCGATGCCTTTTCGTAATCTCCGCCTACGCCCCCACTGACTGCAGTTCAGATGAAACGAAGGATGAGTTCTACCAAAAGCTGTCTAGTTTGGTGAGAAAGGCTAAACGCTCAGACATAGTCGTTCTAGCTGGTGACTTTAACGCTCAAGTAGGGAAATTGTGTCAATCTGAGAAGGATGTCGGTGGCACCTATGGAGTTCCGTGCCAGCGAACCGACAACGGTGACCGTCTCCTACAGTTCTGCTCTGATAATCATTTGTTTCTTGTAAGCACTAACTTCAAACACAAGGAGAGACACTGTTTGACTTGGAGACCCCCTTCATCAAACCAACGCTGGACACAAATAGACCACATAGCAATAAGCTATCGTTGGCGTGGGTCGGTAGGAGATTGTCGCTCCTTCTGGAACACGTGCGTAGATACCGACCATGCACTGGTCCGCGCTCGGGTGTGCTTACGACTGAACGGACGTAGGAAACAGCTGGCGGTAAAACCATCACGTCCCCAGCTCGATCAGGAAACTAAATCCGTATTTGAGGAAGAACTAGCTAAACACATATCTGTGTTCGACAGCTGTGCTCACCCTGAAGAAGCTTGGAAAAATATCCAGGCAGCCATAGATACAGCTGTAAAAGCTGTGAATAAGGTAAACCCAAAGGTGAGTAAAAACCACTGGATCTCCACCGCCTCATCCGAACTGATAGATGCTAGAAGACTTATTCCGGCGAGCTCCGAATTCAATGAGGAGCGAAAGCTGCACAAGAGGAAACTTACGAAAAGTCTCCGCAAGGACCGTGAACAGTGGTGGGCGACAAAAGCCAAAGAGATGGAGAAAGCTTCGAGGATAGGCAACACCAGGCAACTCTTTGGACTCATCAGGGAAACGGGTGGGAGAAGACAAATCATTAGTGAGACAATCTCGGAAAAAAATGGCACTATAATTAGCTCACAGGATAGACGACTGGATCGTTGGAAAGAGCATTATGAGGAGCAGTTTAATTTGCCCACAGCCACGCTCAACCTTCCGAGCATCCAACACCTCCCTGAATGGGATATAGATACAGGTCCTCCGTCACTAACTGAGGTTACTAAAGCTGTCACCAATCTGAAACTAGGCAAAGCAGCGGGACCTGATGGAATGACTCCAGAGGTATTTAAGTACGGTGGAGACAGCTTACTGTCCGGATTAACTGAGGTACTAGGCAGCGTCTGGGAATCAGAAGAAGTCCCATCGGGTTGGTGTAAGTCACTGATTATCCCCATATACAAGAAGGGAGACAAGTCTTCCTGTGATAATCACAGAGGGATTAGCTTGACTAATATAGTATCTAAAGTCTTAGGCTCAATAATCATGCGTAGACTGAGTGGTGCTCGGGAAGCACAAACACGAGAGAGCCAGGCAGGCTTTAGACCAGGAAGAGGGTGTATTGATCATATCTTCACCCTCCGACAGATTCTAGAACATAGGCATTCCTACCGGCGTCCAACAGTCATTATATTTCTTGACCTAAAGGCAGCATTCGACTCTGTCGATCGGGAAGTTCTCTGGAGATGCTTGGCTGTAAAGGGAATTCCGAGAAAATATATTGCACTGATTAAGGCACTCTATTCGTACTCATACAGCCAGGTGAGGGCTTACGGCGAGCTGTCATCTGAACTGATGACGACCAGTGGTGTCCGTCAAGGATGCCCATTATCTCCTTTTCTATTCAACTTCATCATAGATGTGTTAATGGACTTAACCCTAGGTGACTTCAGCGATTCAGGGATTGACTTGCTACCTGGGAATAATCTCGTTGACTTGGAATATGCAGACGATATAGTCCTTCTAGGCGAAGACGCTGACGAAATGCAGAGTCTTCTAAACACCTTGAACAGCAATCTACGAATGTTTGGCATGCGATTCGCTCCCGCCAAATGCAAGATGATGTTACAGGACTGGACTACATCGACGCCTAGTTTAAAAATAGGAAGTGAAGTGGTAGAGCACGTTGACCGCTTCACTTATTTGGGAAGTACCATCAGCCCCAACGGGCTGATCTCTGACGAAATCTCAGCACGAATACAAGGGGCTCGTTTCGCATTTGTTAGTTTACGCCGACTCTGGCGTAGACGAGATGTTCGACTATCGACCAAAGGGCGGGTGTACTGCTCATCAGTCCGCTCCGTCCTCCTTTATGGTTGTGAGACCTGGCCACTGAGAGTGGAAGACATGAAAAGACTAGCTGTCTTTGATCATAGGTGCCTGCGTTCTATTTCCCGTGTAAAGTGGCATAATAAGGTGAGCAACATGGAGGTTAGGCGTAGAGTTCTAGGTAAACAGGGGAAATCAATCGACGAAGTCGTGAAGCTACAAAGACTGAGATGGTTAGGACATGTGTTACGTATGCCAAGCCATCGCCTCCCTCGACGAGCAATGTTAGCGGATATAGGGTCAGGCTGGAAAAAAGCTAGCGGCGGTCAAACAAAAACTTGGCATCAGTCAATGAAATCCACAACAGTTGGTCTAAGCCACGTAGGAAGGTGTAGACTTCCAGGCTGGGGTCCTCGGGACGGTAAAAATCTATGGTTGGAAACAATTGGTGACATGGCTCAAAATCGTTCTCAGTGGCGCAGATGCATCCACTCCCTGTGACTTATGATCTCCAATGAAACTGTTTTGTATTTCTTTATTACTCCTTTGTCTCACACCTCTGCTCACTGTTTCTATTTGCTTTTCTTGTACTTTCTTCTCTTGCTTCGCGTGCTACACGGAATGTGGCGACTTGAACTTCCGCACATTTGTGCAAAGTTCTATGTCGAAAACAGACAGACAGACAGACAGATTAGCATAGGTTGGTGTGACACAACTCCCTGGTTGGGGTCCGCAAGATAGCTCGAATCGATGGCTCGAAACGTTATCGGATATGGCCAAGAATCGTAATCAATGGCGAACGTGTTGCAATTTCCCTCTTTCTTCCCTTCCCGATGTTGGTAGACGAATACTATTTGGACTTGTTATGTATGACTGTTTTCCTTCCTGATGAAGTTCTTTATCCATTCCCCACCTGTATCTTTACTTCTAATCCATCTTTTATTATCATTGTATGGCGCATCTTCTTGGTGCCATATTGTATCAAGTTTTTCTGCGTTTAAAGAACAAAATAATCATTACCATCATGCCGTCTAACAACGAATATCTTCTAACAACCACACAATCACTAGGTATCATTCAACATTCCAACTGATGAGTTCACTTGATGAAAAACAAAATTTGATCGTCATTAAAAGCCTACAGTGGAACAACTCCAGTCACATTCAGACAATTTAATTAGTACATTTACTCAGTGATAAGTTTCACAACTAAGATTTTCTATAACAGAATTCAACTACTCAAAACTATTATCATACACTATTAATATTGTTTCCTTTAGTTCCTATAGGAACACAGGGCTTCAGTGACACATCTCCATTTCGTTCGGTTCTCAGACAACGTTTTAACCTTGCCCCACGTCTGCCTACATGCTTTCATCTCCCCTTTACATGACCTCCTCCATGTCACCCTTGCACAGACGACCAACTCGCCGCTTCCCATTTGGGTTCCATTCAAGCGACGGCCTGGTATGTGATGCCACTCAATTTATGGTTTGCTTTCTCAGAGGATGGCCATTTCCTTCTGCATGTTTCTTCTTGCACAATCGATTCCTGGTCGGTTCGCTCCCAGAGATCCCTGTTGCTAATCCTTTCTGGCAGGCTATCTGATCTTGAGTAGTAGTAGCGAAGACAGCTGTTAATGAAGATCTGCAGCTTGGTTGGAGTGCTCTTCTTGACGAGGCGTCAATTCTCTGATCCGTAAAGCAAGTAGCACTGACTTCACATTGGAGTTGAAAATCTGGATCTTAATTTTCATGCTGAGGGGTACTGTTAATCTTCACACCTACTTCAGCGTAATGAAAGCTTGCCTTGTTTTTCCGCTTCTTGCTTTGATATCTTCATCAGTTCCATCCACCTGTAGTTGAAAGGAAGCTTCCCAGGTCGGTAGGTAAAGAAGGGTGCTTTTTTCAGATTTTTCACATTTATGTTGATTGATGTCTGCTGTTGTTGCTGTTGGCCAGGTCAAGACTAGGTTAGACAATTTGTAAAGCCATAGAGAAAGGAAATTTCCAACGTCTTTCAACCATGTGTATTTTGTTTCCTGGGACGATAAGTAAGTGTACCTATTATATTACATTTGTAAATAAGGAATACAATACAATACTGAAATGTCTTAACCTAAACAAATAAAAACTGATACTTATTGTACAAGATGCCCTAGTGGGTAACGTTTTGTTGTTTAAAACGACAGGCACCAAATTCCAGCCTAACTGGCAACATCATTCATCACAGTTACTGCGGATACATACAGGTACATCGAGCTAACTAGTCTTAAATAGAACGAAATGTCCACCCTGGACTCCCACTGGCAGCCATCACCAAAGAAATAAAAACACGCAAACATGCTTCGTATTGATTATTAATGAACGAGTACACAACTCAAAAACCTATTTGAAATTTAGGCTATTTAACTCTACCAGGTTAGACACATACAACGAGATTTTAGCAAGATGACAACTAATCATATCATGTAATCCAAAGATGAACAGAACTAATAAACTCAGTGAATTTTTCTAATTTACTTTAGGCAAGAGAAGATATCACTCTCGAAGTTCTGCATTCTCAACACGAAGTACTGGAGACATTTTCCTAGTCTCAAAGAATATCACAAGTGAGATCATATATATATATATATCAACTTACTAATGGGTCACATGGAATAAGTTGAAATATTTCTTTTATATCTTTTCTAGCCTTATCTTCAAATCTCAGGTCGACATTAGGATCAACATTAACCATTTTAGTGCCAACAGGATCAGCTATTGTACGCAGGGAGATGGCAACAAATAACACTTGAACAATGACAAGCATTTCCAAGATGAATGGAAGTAAAGGCCAAAATAATACAGAGGTCATAGTGGCAACTGCCCTAGAAAAAGGAGAAAAAATCAATACAACAAAAAGGATAACAATCGAGATTTAGTTAATAAACATAATTTGATGAAAATTTACTATTGAGGAGTGACTATTAAAGAAACAAAGACGCAGAGTGGTACACAACAGAACTTACTATGCAACTAAAATCATTTGCCTGGGATAAGTGAGATTGATGTTCTCTTCTGTAAGCCCTCCCAGAATCCGAATGATACGTCACATGTCAATGTTTTTACCAATTTACATGTATGTGTGGTCATACGTACATAAAGACTCGTCTATCTGTGCAGATCAGGGCTAAAGAACACATTCCCAAGTGGTTGAGTGAACAAATAAAATCACTTAGTTCAATGAATTCCCACTTCTTCTATAGTAAAGCACACAATAGAGACTGATCATAAAGTTGATTTCAGTAGTGCCATATATAAAATAGGTTTAGGTCACAATACCCAAGCCTGCTAAGGCTAACACCTGCTTCATTTGTCTAATAATTATTGGTTACTACTTTGAACCTGCCTTGATGACCCAATTTTATAACTAATATTGATTTCTTGAATTCAATTTTAGATTATCCAGTCGATTGATTGGACCGAAGTGCTCGGTCTCAGGTTGACATGTCGGCTTCTTGTGCAGATGTTTTGACGATGTCTGGGCATTTAATTTGAAGTGAATTGGTAGATTGTGACTAGCGGTGGGATCCAGGATGTGCATTTCGTCCGTTTTGGGACTCGTCAACTGGATGTACCTGCATTCCGCAGTGAATGATGATGTTCCCAAAGAGGCTCGGTGGATAACACTTTGGCGTTTAAAACTATGGGCACTGGGTTCGAACCTCGGTGGGAACTTCATCACTCACTGCGGAGTGCAGGTACATCCGGATGACGAGTCCAAAATAAGACAAAATGCGTATCCTGGATTCCACTGCCAGTCACCATCCACCAATTCACTTCTAAGATTGGTTTCACTTAGTAAAATTTTAATCCCATTTATTTCTTACGTAACTCGCACCTGTGATTATGACCTGCATTGTAAATATGTTGATTGCTTATACTATATTACCTTCTAATATGGAGACAAGTGTTCGTGTGTGATCAGAATGTACAAAATATGCACACAAATTTCGGAGATATTAACGTCTTCTTTCTATTGTTTTGTCGAAACTTATACAGGCAACTAATTGCAACCAAATTTAAAACTGAAAATCTGATAGGACATGCAGGTTTATTCACAGTGTATTCAAAAAAAGTTTGCCAACTACTTACTTGCTTGCTTCATTCAAAATTGCAATAGCCACTCGAATACGATTGCGTAAAAATATCAGTATACAAATAATTAGAAACAATAAGATGGCAGATATAATACCTAAAAATTATACAAAGGATAAGAGAAATATTCAAGTTAGGCGGCTAACAGACATATACAGGAAGTGTGTATAAACACAATAGAGGAATAAACGAAGTCTTTCAAGATTCTAAGAACCAAATGGCTGGAGATCACTGGTAAGACGATTCAAAACCGTTCTGAATAACGCAGATGTAATCACCATTTTTAATTTCCAAGATTCATTAAACCCTATCTTCCTTCTTGCTATTCTTTCCTCAAAGATTTCTGCTCAATATGTTATTATTATTATTATTGTTCCTTTGGGTTCCGAGTAGTGTATACGGCGGCTTCAACAACACATCTCCACTTGCTTCTATTCTCAGCCATCCTCTTGAAGTGGACCCACGATTGCCCAGACCCTCTCATCTCCTCCTCCTCCTTGCCACACGATCCCCTCCATTTCACCCTCGCACTGACAACCCACTCGTCGCTTCCCATTCGGATTCCACCCGAGAAATAGCCTGCATTGTGCGCGATGTCATTCGAATATTTCCTCAATGCTTGTCCGATCCACCTCCGTTTTCTCCTACATACTGGTTGAGGGATCGGCTCTTGATTGGTTTGTTCATCTCCAGAGTTTCTTGTAGCTAATTCTTTCCGGCCATTTGATTTTCAGTATGGAGTTGCTGATGAAAGTCTGCAGCGGCCTGTCGAAAATCCTTTTTGTTGCACGCTGACCAAGTTTCTGACCCGTATAGAAGGATAGATTTGGCATCAGTGTTGAGAATCCGAATCTTGTTCTTTAAGCTGAGGCGGATTGCAGAGGATTTCCAAATTGGTCTCAGTTTGATGAAGGCGTATCCTGCCTTTCCGATTCTTAATGGCTTTGAGATCCTCATTCGTTCCGCCTGTAGTTGAAACGATGCTTCCTAGATAAGCGACGGAGATATTTCTTTTTTTTAATTTTTGATACCTTTCTATGAAATATGGAGTGTGGCAACTTGGACCGCTGCATTTTGTGCCAATTTCTATATTGAAACTCAACCGATCAGTCAGTTAGAAATAAACATGCTTGAATTATGGTTCATACTTCAAACGTTTATGTACCAAGTTATGAACGACGTACAAAATGTAAAGGTTAAGTGATTACACAAAATGATATAGAAAAAGATGACTTTCACCTATGAGAGATTTGATTATTCGTCAGATGAATGTCTACACAATTATTATAACAAAATTAGAGATTAGCATGATCGTAAATAAATCAATGGATAACTAATTAACGCAGACAGAAATTAAAATCATTTTAATGGGTCACTTGGTTTACATTTTAGCAACTATCTAAATGATTAACCTAATAATTTTTCAAGTATTGGTTTGTAGAGATTTGGTTGATTGGTTACAGGATTTCATCATGAGCTGATTAGTGGCTTAATGGTCTAAGAGCTCGTCTTGTAGCCAGAAGGTCCTGGGTTTGAACACCCCCCCCCCAGTGTAGGTGCGTACTGATGAAGAGTCCCAAACTAGGACGAAACAGCTGTCCAGTACTCCCAGGCTCTCTAACCAATGTCAACTCATGATGAAATCCTGTAACTATTAATTTTTCTTTAGGAGAGTCACAATAAACGGTTGTGGGGGGACTGAATGTGAATGAACTCACCCATTGCAAGCCATGTTGATGCTAAACGAAAATATGATGCCAAATCTAGGGAAAATTCAAAATCAGCAGAACCCTCTGGTGTTTTACGCAATACATTCCATCGATAGAAACAGAATCCAGTGCCTATAGGACGGAGAAGGATAAATATAAAACCAAAGTACTCAACTTTGTTCTTCTAATAAGTACAAAACACTCAGTGGTAGAGAGCACAAGAATTATTAAAAGGCATCAAATAAGCAACAATGATATCACCAAAAAAATAAAACTGTTCATCTGCCCTAAAGAGTTAATCGTAAACCTTCAAAGCATAGTTACTACAGTACACGCATATACTACAAGTGAAACATTCACAGTTGTGTAATAAATGGAAAGTCGACTTCGTCACCGGTCTACATTAGAGATCGTCATATAATTTTAACTTTAAAAAATTAACGCATGACATTGTTAAGTTTTAACAATAATTAACTTATAATACTGTAATTGTAGAAGACCAGAGACTTGGTAAAGGAATGTTCATTTGCGATTTGGTATCCCTATATAGCAAAATTATGTGCACCTTATCTTCAACGCAGCTCCGTGTGCACAGATCTTCCGCGCTGTGCTACTTCTACCCTGCCTTCATATTGTGTTTCTTTATTTTCATTTCATGCCTCCCATGTATCTCCACAACACTGAATTATTTACCTTCTCTGTCATCGAATCTCTCTCCCTGTTACTTGATAGTTTTGTGCCGATGAATATGTCTTTACATATACTACTTATAAATCTTATCAGTAGCTCACGCCACAATACTACATGGTATACTAACGAAAACCAAGAGATGACTATAACCGAATCAATAAACCTGATATATATATACTTTGTACCAGTTTAAATATACACACATACAATGTTTAAGGTGGTGCGCGATTCAAACCTTGCATCCATCACACTAAACTAAAAAACTTAAGCTACAAATAGTATTTTATTCTTTTTTTTATTACAGCTTGATTCCACTCTGTATTTTCGGTACAAGTATGGAATTTTCCGCATGTGATATTGGTAGCCCAAATTTTTCAGACCAACCATTGATACCAGGTGTGCATCGGTGGCACAGTGGTTAGGACTCTCGACGGCCATGCACATGGTCCGGGGTTCGAGCCCACACCGGCGCACACCAGATATCTATGGTCGGCCTGCGAAATTTGGGCTACCGATATCCACGCTGAAAATTCCATACTTGTACCAAAAATACAGTGTGCAATCAAGCTGTTACCAAAAATTAAAAAAAATAAGAATAAAGGGGATTGAACCCTAGACCACATGCAGGGTCGACGAGAGTCCTAACCACTGTGCCACCGACGCATACAGCTATTACAAGAACTGTAATAACACAAAGACATACTTCTTTACAATTTTATGAAATGTAAGGTTGCCAGTGTGCAATTGAGAATAGTAAAGGTAATGTCGAATACAAGGGACAATGAAACACGTTATAACTACATCATTTACTCTACTCAATACTGAATTTTATTTCACAAACACATCAACATCTTTGTGATTTAAAATAAATTGAAAGTTGAAGATTTACCCATCAAAAATTTTGTTATACCAACCTTAGAGAGTATAAAAGACAACTGATGAAAAACTTATATATTAATATTAGACAAATTTATGTGATATATCGCATATATAGTAATGCTGTATTAATAACTGGATGATGATTTCAGCACAATTTATTGCCTGCGACTGCATCTCATTACATGCTGTTTACGAAGGCACTTTTCTATAAACCTGGAACCGATGTCGCATCCTGTTTCTATTACATGACCTAAAGCATTGTGATTAACCATTTATAATGTTATAATCTTATCCCATTCCAGTGAGCGATTACGCACAAAAGTTCATGCGCAGATATGATCAAGTTCTTTTTTCTTCTCCTAAATTACTTAACCTAAGAAGGTGTGTCAATTTGGATACAGATGAAATCTTATGTTCCGACAATCTAACTAAACCCCGCGGCCCCACCAGTCAGTAGATGTTTTTTATTTATTTATTTGGTTTTACAGTCATTGTGATTGTAAGGTGAACAGATGACTGACATACTTAACGTTCATAGATAGCTGCAGATACACGTAAAATAGAAGATATTTAACATTTATATTTGATGTACATTTCAAGTTCAGTGGTTATATGGTAAACTTAAAGAATTAACCTCTTTATAAAAGCTGTTCAACTTTTTTTTTAGATGACACCATTACGATGAATAAAACTAGTCATATCCAGTCATTGATTGGTATAAGATGAACATTTCATTTCTACAAAAAATTGATAATGAAAATTATTGCATGGAGGATTTAATCATGAGCTGACATCAGTTAGAGAACCACTGGAAAACCTGGAAGTACTGGACAGCTGTTTCGTCCTACTTTGGGACTCTTCATCAGTACGCACCTACACTGGGGGGGGGGTGTTCAAACTCAGGACCTTCTGGTTACAAGGCGAGCTCGTAGACCATTGAGCCACTGGAACCCGATCCAATCGTCCTTGAATTCTAACTGATGTCAGCTCATGATTAAATCCTCCATGCAATCAAACAAAATCCCTACAAAAACCAATACTTGAAAATGAAAATTATATATTGTGCTCCTCTCCTTTATTGAAGTTGTCTGATCAGACTCAATGTACATCCTTTCAGCTTAATTACTAGGAAACATCTGTTACACGACTTGCAGTCAGGCGTACAGTTTGATGTACACACCACCCGAACCTGGAAAAATATTCAGGTTTCTATGAGTGATTCTAATGATGCTAACAGTTCTTTTGGCAATATGAAACAACACATAACTATATACAAATTCTCTAGGGGAAAAAGCTACACAAAAGAAACAGTTTCACACAAATATTAGTATTTGTATAATGATTAAATCCGTCATTTGTATAAATTAAACTTCGAAGTGAAGAAAAATTCATTCTCACAGTGTTTCCTTTAGAATCCAAAAATATTCAGATAATAACATTGTTTATTTCTATAAATAAGAAACGAAAAATTATGGAAAACAACAGACTTGATGACGCCATTGCTGGAGAAGGTGTGGAAAGAGGGCAGGGTACCTGAGGAAATGGGGCGACATTGTGCTCCTGTCGATCCCAAGCAAAATACTAAGCCGCATCATCCTGGAGGGAATCAAACAAACCCTGGATGAAAAACTTGGACCGGAACAAGCTGGATTCAGGAGAAACAAATCATGAATTTATCAAATCGCCACTCTACGGGTCATCATTCAACAAAGCTTGGAATGGCAGTCACCTCTCTATCTTAACTTCATCGACTTTGAAAAAACCTTCGACAGCGTCGACCGAGAGGTCATTTGATAACTACTTCGCTACTACGGGGTGCCATCGACAATCATACATCTCATCCAACACTTATACGACAATGGTGCATGCCAAGTAATACACAACTGGAAACCTACGGAAGCCTTCAAAGTGAGGACGGGAGTAAAACAAGCTGGGTGGCTGCCTACTATCTCCAATGATTTTCCTGATTGTGATGGACTGGATAATGCGACAGACAACTGCGGGTAACGAAGAAACATACATAAAATGGACCCACACAAAAAACTTGGAGGATCTAGACTTCGCCAATGATTTATGTCTGATTTCCCACAAACTGGAAGATATGCAAGTAAAAAGCAACAAGTTGGCAGAAGAAGCATCCACAGAAGACAGGACATCAGGTGAACATAGAGAAAACAGAGGTGATGAAGATTCCTGGCCAACAGCAACAGAAACGACAACAGTTAGCACAAATGGAGGGAACCTGAAAGAAACAACCACCTTCACCTACTGACCTGGAAAGCATCGTTTCAACTACAGGCCAAAGGAACTGAGGAGAATATCAAAGCCAGAATCGGAAAAGCAAGACAAGCTTTCATTGCTCTCAAATCTGTGTGGAGGTCAACAGCACTCACCATCAAAAATAAGATCCGGATTTTCAACTCCAATGCCAAGTCAGTGCTACTATACGGATCAGAGACTTGGCGAGTCATAAAGAGCATCTCCAACAAACTTCAGACTTTCATTAACAGCTGTCTTCGCTCAATACTCAAGATCAGATGGACAGAAAAGATCAGCAACAGGGAGGGGTATCTGAGAGCGAACCAACCAGGAACCGATTGCGAAACAAATAGGCAGGAAGAAATGGAGATGGATTGGCCATACGCTGAAGAAACCATCAAGTGGCATCACTAGGCAAGCCACGGTTCAAGTGGAACCCGAAAGGGAAGCGGGCGGCGAGTTGGTCGTCATTGCAAGGATTACTTGGAGGAGGTCATGTGAAGGGGAGATGAAAGAATGTGGGTAGACGTGGAGCGGGGTGAAAACGTTGGCAGGAAACCGAAGGCAATGGAGACGCGCAGCTAAAGCCCTATGTTCCTCTAGGAATTAAAGGATATAATAATATAATAATAATAACATGGAAGACGACAAACTAGTTTGGCCTTGTATTACTGATAAGATTTATCAGTAGTATATAAGGATACTCTCGTCAGCATAAAAACATCAAATAGAAGGGAGATAGATTTGGTGATATCAGAGAAAGCAAATGACACAGCGTTGCGGGGATACATAGGAGACATGAAAGGAACACAAAGAAACACAATATGAATGAAGGCCAGAAGTAACACATCACGGAAGATCTGAGCGAATGGTGCGTTGAAGATAAGGTGTACATAATTTTACCATATACAGATACCAAATTCCATACGAACATCACTTTATCAAGTATCTGGTTTTCTACCGTTACACTAGAACATAGTATACAGTGATAGGAATAGTACTGGTGCTTCCTATCCATACTGAAATGATAAGAACACCGGATGGCTGTTCCGCCCGTTCGAAGTTAACGTCATCAATGCTGCACCTGGTTACACTCACTTGTATCTGGCTAAGAATCTATATTTACAGGAGTGGTTTCCATTTACTCATATCAATCAGAAGTGTAGGGAATTACTGCATTATAATTGATTAAAAATATCAATTAAAATTTTCAAAAGAATGGTTACTGAACAAAGAATATTCTTTTCGATAACTTCATCATCAGGTTCCACAGTTATATATACATAACAGTGAATGAATTTATATTATTAACAACATTAGTGTTGTTTAAATAACATCGAATCAATAATTATATCAATCGACCACAGTTCAATAGCATCAACATAACACTGCACACTGAATATCAGAAAAATTACGAAACATAATAATACAAATTCACGAATTTATAGTCTCCACAGAAGGCCAGAGCAGTAGTAGTGGATGGACTTGTTTCTTTTGCACACAAAGCAGTGGTTGTTTCACGTGAATCTCGATAGCCTCTGCTGTTTGGAGAATGCGGTACCTCGATGTTTTTGGCAATGTATTTGATACCCGGTAGATGATAGAGAAGGATTCTTAAATGCTGGCTTTGTGGCCGATTTGGACCAGGTGGTCTAACATCGAGCTGTTGAGGCTTCTCACTACACTTTTAACTAGCTAAACCGTTAAATGTTCCCGAGCGAGCACGAAAAATCAATTCCTACAGCAACGGCCGATGTAACTCGCTCCACAAGCGCAGTTGAATTGATAGATGCAACTGGAAGTGGCTAGTCTAGTCTAGGTACTTCATTTTCCAATGAAGGAATCACCATCGGTCGTATAGAGAATAAGGCGTGTAGTTCAACAGCATTAAAAAGTGATATACCGAGCGAAATAATTACAAAAAATTAAGTAAATCAGTTCAAAGAACTTTCAAGGCATTTTTAGTTGGTGGCGTTGAGTAGGATCCTTTATGAACCACCGATTGAATTTATTTAATAATCTTAAAGTTTCAGGATTTTATCATGAGCTGACATTAGTTAGAGAACCATTGGAAAACCTGGGAGTACTGGACAGCTGTTTCGTCCTAGTTTGGGACTCTTCGGAAGTACGCACCCACCCCATAGGGGGTTCGAACCCAGGACCTTCCGGTTACAAGGCGAGCTCGTAGACCATTGAGCCACTGGGACCCGATCCAATGGTCCTTGAATTCTAACTTCTGCGAATTCACGACATAGCGCGACCGCTAGCCAATGTCTTCGGCGAGTATTTGTCCTCACACTCGACCCGCTGCACCCTATTGGTCACGACTTGCCACTGGAACTCAGGTAACTACCTACCTGAATAGTCTGTCTGTCTGGATTCAACATAGAACTTGGCACCGAAGTGCAGCAGTTCGAGTTGCCACCTTCCAAATAGCACACAGAGGTAGACAAGAAGATGAGTGAAGAGAATTAATAGAGTTTGACAAATATAAGAGTGAAACAGAATGGGTAATGGTAGAAAGGAATATGAAAGATTACAGAGATTGAATACATCGGCGCCATTGACAACGATTTTGAGCCATGTCACCTATTGTCTCCAACCATTGATTCCTAGAGTCCCGAGGGCCCCAACCCGGGAGTCTGCATCTCCCTACCTGAATCAGTTTAACTGTCAAGGATTTCATGGATTGATGCCATGTTTTTGTTTGGCCACCACTGGCTCTTTTCCAACCTGAACCTATATCAGCTAACAATGCCCGTCGGGGGAGGCGGTGGTTAGGCATGCGCACCACGTGACCTAGCCATCTTAGTCTATGTAACTTTATAACCTCGTCGATTGATTTTCCCTCTTTGCCCAACACTCTACGCCTAACGTCAACATTACTTACCTTGTTAAACCACCTAACGTGAGAAAGAGATCGCAGACATCTATGATCGAAAGCAGTCAACCTTTTCATGTCTTCAACGCGTATTGGCCATGTTTCAGAGCCATAGAGAAGGACGGAGCGAACTGATGAGCAGTACACACGTCCCTTGGTTGATAACCGGATGTCACGCCTACGCCAGAGATGGTGTAAGTCAGCGAAAGCAGCTCGAGCTTTTCGGATCCGTGCTGAGATTTCGTCGCCAATCAGTCCGCTGGTGCTAATACAACTTCCCAAGTAGGTGAAGTGGTCAACATGTTCTATCACTTCACTCCCTATCACTAAGTTAGGGGTTGACGTGTCCAGTCCTGTAGCAGCATCTTACATTTTGCAGGGGCGAATCGCATGCCAAACATACGAAGATTGCTGCTCAAGGTGTTCAGAAGACTCTGCATTTTTTCAGCATCCTCCCCTAACAGGACTATGTCATCTGCATATTCTAAGTCCATTAGATTATTCCCTGGTAACAAGTCGATTCCTAAGTCACTACGTTCAGTTAAGGATACTTCCATTAGCATATCTATGATGAAGTTAAACAGAAATGGGGAAAGTGGACATCCCTGTCGGACACCACTGGTTGTTACCAATTCAGATGACAATTCCCCATAAGCCCTTACACGACTACGTGAGTTTGAATAGAGTGCCTTGATTAGTGCAATGTACTTTCTTGGCACTCCCTTCACAGTCAGACATTGCCATAGTACCTTTCGATCCACGGAGTCGAAGGCCGCCTTCAAGTCAAGAAATATGACAATTGTTGGACGCCGAAAAGTGTGTCTATGTTCTAGAATCTGTCGAAGAGTCAAGATATGATCTATGCACCCTCTACCTGGTCTAAAGCCTGCTTGATTTTCCCTTGCCTGTTCCTCCCGAGTTCTGCTTAGTCTATGCATGATTACTGAGCCTAGGATTTTAGAGACTATGTTCGTTAGGCTGATCCCCCTATGATTATCACACGAGGACTTGTTTCCCTTCTTGAATATCGGTATAATAAGTGACTTACCCCAGTCTGATGGTACTGTCTCTGATTCCCAGACTTTGCCTAGTACCTCAGTTAATCTACAAACTAGTATGTCACCCCCATATTTAAACACCTCCGGAATAATTCCGTCGGGTCCTGCCGCTTTGCCTCGTTTCAAATTACTGATAGCTTTTGTAACCTCACCTACAGACGGCGGACCAGTGTCTATATCCCATTCGGGTACGTGGTGGATGGCGGGGAGGTTCAGTGTGGCTGTAGGCAAGTTAAATTGTTCCTCAAAGTGTTCTTTCCAGCGTTCAAGGCGTCTATCCTGAGAGCTAATTAAGGAGCCATTTTTCTCAGAAATAGTCTCACTTATGAATTGCCTTCTCCCGCCCGATTCTGTGATGAGTCTAAAGAGTTGCCTAGTGTTGCCTATCGCCAATGCTTTTTCCATCTCTTTCGCCTTTGTCACCCACCACTGTTCACGGTCCTTGCGGAGACTTTTAGTAAGTTTCCTTTTGTGCAGCTTTCGCTCCTCATTGAATTCGGAGCTCGCCGGAATAAGTCTTCTAGCATCTATCAGTTCGGATGAGGCAGTCGAAATCCAGTGGTTTTTACTCACCTTTGGATTTGTCTTATTCACAGCTTTTACAGCTGTATCTATAGCTGACTGAATATTCTTCCAGGCTTCTCCAGGGTGAGCACAGCTGTCGATTCAGATATGCGTTTAGCTAGTTCTTCCTCAAATAGGGATTTAGTTTCCTGATCGAGCTGGGGGCGTAATGGTTTTACCGCCAGCTGTTTCCTACGTCCGTTCAGTCGTAAGCACACACGAGCCCGGACCAGTGCGTGATCGGTATCTACACACGTGTTCCAGAAGGAGCGACAATCTCCTACCGACCCACGCCAACGATAGCTTATTGCTATGTGGTCTATTTGTGTCCAGCGTTGGTTTGATGATGGGGGTCGCCAGGTTAAACAGTGTCTCTCCTTGTGTTTAAAGTTAGTGCTTACAAGAAACAAATGATTATCTGAACAGAACTGTAGGAGACGGTCACCGTTGTCGGTTCGCTGGCACGGAACTCCATAGGTGCCACCGACATCCTTCTCAGATTGACACAATTTCCCTACTTGAGCATTAAAGTCACCAGCTAGAACGACTATATCTGAGCGTTTAGCCTTTCTCACCAAACTAGACAGCTTTTGGTAGAACTCATCCTTCGTTTCATCCGAACTGCAGTCAGTGGGGGCGTAGGCGGAGATTACGAAAAGGCATCGGCGAGTAGTGCAGTCCTTTCTCCTTCTTACTGATCCGTTCAGACGGACAGCACACATTCGGCTATCTACTGGGATCCAGTCAAGTAATGTCTTTTCTGCCCTAGTACTCAGAGCTATCCCTACGCCAGCTAATCCCGTGAACTAGCTGTGGCATCTCCTGACACCCTCAAGGTGAATTTTGCAGATTCAACCTGTTGGCCAGGTGGGGTTAGGTGAATAAACCTGAATAGGGCAAGTCGCTAGTGAGCATCTCATTGGTATTCAAGTGTTGGTTTGTAGAGATTTGATTGGTTTCAGGATTTCATCATGAGCTGACATTAGTTAGAGAACCATCGAAAAACCTGGGAGTACTGGACAGTTGTTTCGTCCTAGGACAACTATCCAACTGTCCAGTACTCCCAGGTTTTCCGATGGTTCTCTAACTAATGTCAGCTCATGATGAAATCCTGAAACCAATCAAGTCCCTACAAACCAACACTTAAAAATCATAAAGTTGTTTGGGAAACAAAAACAAATACTTACCAAAGGTAAATAAGGCCACAAATAACACCAATGTAGTCCAAACCATAATAGTGGCACAGCATCGTAATAGCACAATCCACAAGAATGACAAAACTACGGATATCAGAATGCATCTAAAAACAAAGAGAAAAAAAAGACAAGGTTTTTTTTCGATGAAAATCACTTCGCTTTTGAATGAAAAGTGCAGAGTAGCACACACACACACACACACACAAAGTCTGCTATATGATAGCATAAGTGAAATCATGAATAATTTAGGAAAATACCTTTGTTTCTTCAAAAAAATAAATACACCGACCGAATTTAAAATACCTCACATCATAGACAAAGACGACTACATAGCAAAGATGAAAACTATCTTAATGACCCGGTGAGGTTTAAAGTTGACGACTGCCAGAATAGCAGGACAGATGCAGCTGAAAATACGCACTACAAACCTATTAAGAGATCTCCTAAAGAAGAAATTAATTTTCAACGATATTTACAATGATTTAAAACGCTGAAAGTCTTCGTTTGCCGCACAGGTATGGCATTCCACAAAAACACAAGTCCTCTTGAGATCTGTACTTTAGATGATCAACTTGTCTCAGCACACACTTGCTCGTTGACTTGCAAAAAAGTAGGAACCTATTTGTCAACGGCTAGCTTTGTACACCATGAAAGATTCATTTTATTTTGCCAAAAGCATGAACCACTTGAACGTTTCAAATAAATTCATGGTGTCATTTGATATAACCTACTTTGTTCATAAGAATCCCAATGAATGAAACTATGGAGATCATTTGCGATCAGTCTGATCTTCTCCCACTCCCAGTATTGGAATTCAAAGGCCGGCTGCTAATGTGTAATATGGATGTACGACTCCAGTTTGACAACACACTTCACCTACGAGTAGATAGTGTAACTATGGGCAGTCCACTTAGCCTTGTTTTGGCAAATATCTTCATATCCACCCTTGAAAGAACAAAGCTGAAGCATGTGATTCACGAAACAACTTATTGTAGATATGTACACAACACATTTGTAGTGTGTAACAATGAAAGTCATACTTTCTACCTACTCAGATTATTTAACGGCACACATACAAATATGGAACAACTATGGAACATTGAAATGACAGAAAGTTTCATTTCCAGGGCATTGCCATGCAACTCCTGGAAGATGGTAGTCTCCAGAGGTTAATTTACAGAGTCGAAATGGAATGGACAATACTTGCATTTTAGTAGTCTTTGTCCAAATAGCTATAAACAAGAACTAGTGAAAACTGTTGCACAGAGTCAAGAGAAATTAAAGGAAGAATTTCTGATTCTTGAAAAGACGTTGAAAAACAACGGTTACCCTCAACGATTCATTAACATGTGCGGGAAGTGTGAAGGCTCGAATGCCCAACAAATCACAGTGTGAAAGAAGCCTATCTTGATTCAAATTGATTTTAAAGGTACTAATATAGCAGGAATAATCAGCAGAAGAATGAATATGTCACTAGCCAGAGCCTGTCCGGCAGCTTAGTTGGTTCCCGTACATCGGACATACTTTTTGGTGCAATCAAAAGTCGACAGATACCCTTCTCATGTCAACCCCAAGTGTGCACACAAATTTACGTGTATCTGATGTAGCAGTTACATTGGGAGAACAGAAAGAGGGACATACCTCCGATTTTCTGAACACGTACCGAAAAGCCTACGTCTCAAGGGAAGAAATGCTTTCAGAAGTGTCATTGCCAGGCATCTCTTTGACACAGATCACGAGGTAGACGTCGTGAAATCCTTCAAAACTATCAATAAGCAAAAAAGTTCAATTTTCCCTAAGGTTCCCGAAGTAATCTCTGTCAAACGCCTGAAATCCGACTTATGTATTCAGAAAGAATCGGTTATCAGTCATTCCCTGACCCTACTGGTAACTCGATGTTTTCATCCTCTCTTTCACTCGATTGCGTAACGCTGAAAATCCCATTCTGTATGATTATTATTGTTTGGAATAAAGGGATTATTATCATTATTACCATTGTATGCATGTGGAGAGGAGATGAAAACATGTGAGCAGACTTGGAGCCAGGTAAAAACTCTAGCAGAAAACCGAACGCAATGGAGACGCGCGGCTAAAGCCCTATGTTCCTCTAGGAATTAAAGGAAATAATAATAATGCATGTATTGATTGATTTTTGTTTAAAAATGAACTCTCTGTTTAAATATGTTAAAATGGATTCTCTACATAAACTTAATAATGTCTCTAGGCTGTAAGCAGTTGGTGAGAAGTCAATGAAATAAGCAATGATGGTACCATTTTACTCTGCACAAAGTACTGTTATTCTTGACTTATTCAAATAAATAAGTGGTTAAAAAACATACATCAATCAAGATAATCTAGATGAAATTCATTTGTCGCTAGACAACGTTAGTCATGCTAAAACTGGATTTCCTTTGTTTACACATTTTTTTAAAAACCACTCCATTCATACAACTTGTTACAATTTAATTTGTAGATAAGTGTCTATTAGACGTCAGATAATAGCTACAATGCTAACGGAACACATCCTCATTAATATGAATAAACATGTAAATGCGATAGTATAACTTATACGTCTACTCGTAGTAAACATTCACATATAAATTGTACAACACACTCAACAGACAAATCAATGATCAAACATATATTGTATCACTGTTATTTTCACATAGTTTTCATACATAACAACAATTTCGATGACTGATTGACTGCTTTCAATATAGAACTTTGAACACATGGGCTGCACTTCGATTTGCCACACTCGCATCATGTACCACACAAAGCAACAGGAGAGAGTAAAGGCCGATTCAAAAGAGAGATAATAAACAGGGATATGAGGCGAAAACAGAATTTTATTGGATATGACAAATCACAAACAGTGAATACATCTGCACCATCACCGAGAACGATTTTGATTCATATCACCGATTGTCTCCAACCGTCATTGGTTTTCACCATCCTGAAGACACCAAATAGCCTAGAAGTCTACACTTCCCTGGGTGGCTATCTAACTGGCTCAAACTAACTGTTGTGGATTCCATTGACTGATGAAGCCATGTTTTCGTTTGATCACAACTGGCTATCTCTTTTCCAAATTGATCCATCATATGTTAGCTAACGTTGCCGGTCGAGGAAGGTGATCGTTGGCTATGCATGTGTAACACATGTCCTAACAATCTTAATCAATATGGCTTCACAACCGCGTCAAATGATTTCCCATCCCTAACAAGCACTTGACGCCTAACCTCAATATTACTCACCTTATTATGCCACGTAACACGGGAGACAGGACGCAGACAATTTCGATTAAAGGCGGCTAGCCTTTTCGTAATTTTCACTTTCAATGGATATGTCTCACAGCCATAAATGAGGATGGAGTGGACTGCTGAGCAATACACACGCCTTCTGGTTGACAGGCAGATATATCACATCTGCGGTAGAGATGCAGTTAGTCGGCTGGAAAATGCCAAAAGAGCCTTCTGTATCCGGGCTCAGATTTCGTCAGTGATCAACCAGTCGGAGACTGATGCAACTCTAAGCAACAATCTCCATAGCATAAAAGCGTACATGAATGATAACAAATATAAGTAGTTGGCTGCCACTCACATCAATCAGAATTGGGATGACCTGAGCTGATTTAGTTATCTCAGCTGAGTGAAACTAGATACACCACTGATGAGCCCGGTGAAAAACGAGCGAAACCGCCGCAAATTTCTTAGATTATAAGTCACAAATTCAACACATAAACTTCTGATTATCTCCGTCAGTGAAGCAACCCTAAGGTACTTACAAACTATTTATCCATCCTAAATGAACTTTTACATATTTAGAATTTGTTAATAAACATATTTAATGCGAAAATGAATTCAGCTATTAACACAACGCAATCTTTCACCAAACTAACTTAAACTACTGACTTCTTTAGACATAAATACGATCTACAGTGACTGGTTAATACACACGATGCTTGTAGCATAGAGGGAGCTGTAACAGAAAGTAAGTCTAACACAAAAAACCTTGGTGTAGTTCTACCGTCTTACCTTACTTGGTCATCCCATATTTTGTCAATCTTCAGGAAAATGTTCCGTCTAAGCTACTACACGAAGAAGTCAAAGCAATCTGGAATCATTCAACCTCTGCTTTCACAATTTGTTAACTCGTGTATCTTACCTGATGTACTTAACCGCTTCCTCTTAGTCTTTCCTGAGCTACTGAGAAGCGTATTAATGGTTGTCAGTAGGGCAAGCAGTGTGAAACTTAGCTTGTCACTACATTAGTTGATAGACATCTAAACTCATGCAAGAAATGGTTAAAAACTATATTGTCTGATCCTCAACACCTCCTCTATTTTCAACTCTCTCCTTGTATCTCATCTGATTGAAGTAGAAGACCGTACGAAAGACTGTATAGGAACTCAAAGATGTGGAACGTGTTATATGCGACAGACACAATGTGAAGCGTGAAACCTATGAATTACTACGTTGTTAGTCAAATAATTGGCTCTTTTATTATCTCCTATTTGTAATCTATGGTGACGCTATCTCAATTAACTGATAATCTTAATTACTAACAATTTAATCATTATTTTGCAATTCTTTGTATGTTTATGATCTTACTGTCAGTACTAATAACAAATAAAAACTGTCATTAACAATCCTGTAATATTATCTTTATAATTGTTTTTTTTAAATGTGATTTGATAAAATTAGATGCAATATTGTACCAAATGCTGAAAACTCCACGCTATCACATTAGTACTGTTTAGGAATAAAGCAAATAATTATTCTCATTTATCATTTTATTTAATATTACTACCAACTACTTGCTATTTCTTGCGATTAAACGCAAATAGTTTAGACACCAAGTAAATTTTAAAAATATAAGGCATTTTAATTAACAACCATCTGCTATCGTGGAGACGTGGCTTATGAGTTTAAGAACCCGATTTCCAACCTTTAGATCAAAGGATTCGAAAATAGTGTCGTTCACTTCAGCCTGGGTAACTCAGTAGTATTGCGATGAGAGCTGTCTGCAAGCCGAAAATGTAGACAACAATTTACGTCAATGTTTACGTCCCGAATCGGGATCATGAGAAAAAACAATAACAAAGCTTCTTAACCTTGAGGAATTCAACAACCAATCACAGCAGACCTAGCTTGTGCAAACACGATTCACAGATGTATGGATAACCTTATAAGGAACGGTCACAAGCAGTACAGAATAACTTTCAGCAGCAGAACAACCAATCAAGAGAGGTTGCTTCTCTGCTAACAATAACGCCAATAGTAATGTACATAAAAATCTAAAAATATCTCTTGTTTTTTCTAAATAAACGATCTGTTGCCTGGCCTTTGTCTTCAGTCGTTACAATATTATCAGGCAGCCTTCACATATTAAGTGTGGATCATAGCCTTTTACATGAAAATATATTCTGCGTAATCAGCAAAGACATTACTGATCCCTGCTTTCATTAAAGCCCTAATAAACCTGCTTAGAGGACAACACACACACACAAAAAAAAATAGACGCACCTCAGCTAAACCATAAAACTATAGTATGACACGGGTAATATTTTTCAACAAAAACAGTAAATTGCACTCATTAGCGTCTGCTATACAAAATAACAATTACCAGAGTTACGAGTTAGCAAAGATATGCATGTTTTTTCATCAAAACTCAATGTGCAGTGAATTGAAAAGTTACTCAACAACCACTTATGATTCCATGCAATCGGCTATGAACCACACGTATGTGTGAAGGCTAATGATAACATCTGGCTTTCCAAAACCTCGATAAGTAGAGAAGGGATTCGAACCTATGACCGCCTGGAGGCCGAGCACCTAAACAAATGGATCATAGCTCCAATATGTGCAATACAATTGTTTGCAGATTAAAAACCATTTGAGTAAACACACGAAAGGTACTCACTAATATGAGCAATGAATTAATGAACACTACAACTGCAGAATATACTTAAAACAAATACAATGGAATAAAAATGAATCAACAAACAGTTTATGCACTCGTGATCGATATCTCAGATATAGAAAAACAGCACATCACAAGTTTTGCAATATCTCTCTTCCTCTCCTAAATATAACAGTTCGCAAATTATTGATACAGCCTAATGAAGGATAGCATCATTTTCGTAGGAATTAAGTACAAATAAAGCAATTTTTACAAATCACACCTTAGATACACACACAAAGTACATCTCAACTTCATAAAACATCACGTTACAATAGAGACAGTGAAACAATGGCGCATAAATCAACCTATTCAGGTAGTTAACCTAGGGTTCTAGTGGGAAGCCGTGACCTAAAGGGTACAGCAGGTTGAAGATGAGGCAGTAATTCTTAATATATGTGTAATTCATCGAAGAAGACATTGCCAAGTGGTCGCACTATGCCGTGAATTGACAGAAGTTAGAATTCAAGGACCATTGGATCAGGTCCCAGTGGCTCAATCGTCTACGAGCTCGCCTTGTAACCAGGAGGTCCTGGATCCAAATCCCGGTGGGTGCGTAGTGCTGAAGAGCCCCAAACTAGGACGAAACAGCTGACCAGTACCCCCAGGTTTTCCAGTGGTTCTCTAACTAATGTCAGCTCATGATTAAATCCTCCATGTAATTAATAAATGTCTATTTATTTGATCGTAAATTTAAAGGAATTCGTTACTAGTGTAAACATAAAAGTGAAGCTCTCTGTGTGTGTCAATGTTAGTATTCATTTTTAAAAAAAAAACTGATTTATGAATTTATGATATAAAGAAAAGCATTGAGACTTTGGCCATTTTACATATTATACCTTTGGAGAGAATGTGATTGTTAGTAGTATAATGCACACACTCTCAATATCTTCGATTCACATTATGTTAAAATGCATTAACTAACTGGTATTTTACATACTGCACAAAATACATACTCACTAAGTTTGAGTGATTCAAGACAATCAATCAAAAACTTGTCTAGTTGTAAATGAGTAATTTTATAACTATGAGGAACCATCTTCTTTCTATGCTGAGAAAAATACACGGGGGGGGGTGGAGGGCGACAGTATATTTACATGTTTTATTACTGATACATTGAAAAACGATTGTTCTCAATAAATCTTTCCAACTTTTAACTGAAAAACAGTGCTTAAACTCTAAGTGGACAAATATAAAGCGATGTCGAAAAACGAAATTAAATAAATTATTAATGTCACAAGATCTAGGTACCTGTTTGTAAAGCTTTCCAATACTACTTGACTGTGTGTGTGTGTGTGTGTGTGTGTGTGTGTGTATGAAGCATAGTAACCAACTATGCATACGATTAAGGGTGTTTTTGTAGGAATATTGGATAAATTCTAATAAAGACTTTATGAAGAACGAATATTAGTTATACAGAGAGTGAAAACTAGGGGCACTGGACAGTTGCTCTATCCAAGTTTAGGAGTCTTCATCAGAGTAAACCCAGAACCTTTCCTCCAGGGGCCCTAGAGGTTATGAAGTTGGTCTGTAATGAAATCCCCATTGAAACTGCGAATTATTCTTATTTGACGGTATAGAGAAGACGCAGAAAAGCCTAACCACTGAATATGAAGTGTCAACAGATATTACATTGGTTAGACATAATAGTTCTCCCTGAAGAAGGCAGTCAACTCGAAAATAACTCAACACAGATTACAAAGAGGTTACACACAACCTTACAACGTGACTATGCAACCAATTCAAACGAAGACTCAAGAAATGGAAGTTTAGGCCGTTACAAGGAAGTATAAATCGTTTTTTTAGAAATGTTGGAAAAAACTGACGTCTCAGATAGATGCTTTTGATGTTAATTGCTTTTTCTGAGCCGAATGACTTACCTGTGAAGCGCCTTCATCTTGTTTCTACACGAGATCTTCAGCACAAATTTTAGCAATAAATCTTATCAGAATGACTGAGACACAATAAAAGCAACTTGGAAACGATAGTTTTTTCCATGATATCAGTTGAAAATGAAACCATAGTTCTGTGCCGGGGCGAGGATATAAGTTATTACAAATCAAGCTCCCCGAGTTTACGTCTCGGTATACTTGTATAGGTAGATTGAAGGCGGTCAATCACGACAGAGTTTGCTATAGTATGTCTGAAAATACTTCGGAATAACTCCTATCCTCCCCCTAGCGATGTTCGATCTTTCTTTCTACTTCCTACCAGTTTAAAGATTACACTAGTTTGACAGTAATGAAATATTAAAAACAACATCTGAAACCTAATCCACTTACATAAGTATAACATGCCAAGTTTGACGAAGATCGGCGACAATTTTCTCAAAAACTGTCACAAGTCCCAATACTAATCTGAAAGTTAAAAGTAAAAAAAAACACTTTAGTATTATCATAAAGTTATGTAATATGCAAATTAGTGTATCCTAACAATGTCACTATGGTCTAATTTACGCATGTCCTTGTTATATCTCTATTGAAGACTTTTGTAGTGATAACTCACGTATAGACTTTTCAAAATTAGCTTATAATATAGAAAGGCAACTAAATCACAGACTGTTAAAGGTAACCTACACAACATTCGATGCAATATGGTCTCTGGGAATAGGAACTGTAAAATGTAGTCAGTAGTCACTAACTTATGCTAAAAACGTGCCATGCTGTGGCGTGTACTACTGATAAGATTTATCAGTAGTACATGCATAAATAGATTTAATTGGATTTTATATTTTTCCCGTCGATTCATCGAACCGAAGTTCTCAGTCTCAGGTTGACATGTCGGCTTCTTGTGCAGATGCTTCAACGATGTCTGGGCATTTAATTAGTATTCTCTGGCGTCGAAGCTATCTCCCTGTTATTTGATGTTTTTCTGGTGATGAACATCTCTTTATATATTTAATTGGTGGATGGTGACTAGCAGTGGAATCCAGGATGCTCATTTTGTCCTATTTGGGACTAGTCAGCTGGATGTATCTGCATTTCTCAGTAAGTGATGATGGGCACTGGGTTTGAGCCTTGGTGGGAACATCATCACTCACTGAGAAATGCAGATACATTCAGCTGACGAGTCCCAAATAGGACAAAATGAGCATCCTGGATTCCACTGCTAGTCACCATCCACCAATTAAATATATAAAGAGATGGTCATCACCAGAAAAACATCAAATAACAAGGAGATAGCTTCGACGCCAAAGAAGGCAAATGATTCAGTGTTGCGGAGAAACACATGGGAGGCGTGAAATAAACACAATATGGAAGAACAGCAGAAGTAGCACAACACGGAAGACCTTTACAAATAGTGAGTTGAAGATAAGGCGTAGACAATTGCGCTATGTAGAGATACCAAATCCCGAATAAACATTCCTTCATTAAGTCTTTCATATTCTACCGTTACAATGTTACAACTTACATACAGAACTTTTCTGATAATGATAACCAGTAAAAAAATATGTAAATGTAATTCATATAAGGTAAAAATAATAGCAATGATAATTTGGTACACCACATATTAATATAAATAGCATAGCTGTTAACCTTTAACTTTTTTCTTCATATTTCACAGTAATGAATAAAAGCAATATCGACCCCACAGAATCACACCAATGTTGTTAGTAAAACAAACATAAAGAGAGAGAAAAACGGAAGAAGAAGAAAAGTAACATGCAGAGTAAGAAAGAAAATTATATAGTTCGTTTATATTCATGAATGCAGTTAATAGTTGGAACAATATAACCTGAACAGTCAATTTTATATTTACCTAAGTAAAAGCCTTAAAACTGCTATGATGACAATTTTGAGAGTGACTGGTCGTTTACTAGAGAAGAAGCATGTTCTTTTAAAAAAAGACTGTAACCTAATATGAAGTATATTCATGTAATTCGAAAATGATAATCAGTATGATCAGCAGCAGAAGGCAAGATACGGAAGCGAAGGTATGTTTTCCATTGATCAAACAGCTATTTACATCTATATAGTTTATATTCTTTAGCCAATCACTGAGCGTGTCATTTCGGTGTACATTAAACGGCATGCAATACAATGTTCAAATACACATATATGATTCAGTTCTGTTGCTAGTGCACTATTGAACGGTGCGAATAGTATTCAGACGTTAACACCAACAAATACAATGATTCTTATTGTGAGAATAATATTCCGTTGGAACCGATTATCTGTATGACACCAACCCTAGTAGTATTGCACTAATGTGTCATACTAAACGCTGAACTGTATACATAGAAGCATAGTTCAGTCCATGTACCGGACTGTGAGCTTCGATTATTGTATGAGGGCAGAAGTCAATCGACGAAGTCGTGAAGCTACAAAGACTGAGATGGTTAGGACATGTGTTACGTATGCCAAGCCATCGCCTCCCTCGACGAGCAATGTTAGCGGATATAGGGTCAGGCTGGAAAAAAGCTAGCGGTGGTCAAACAAAAACTTGGCACCAGTCAATAGAATCCACAACAGTTGGTCTAAGCCACGTAGGAAGGTGTAGACTTCCAGGCTGGGGTTCTTGGGACGGTAAAAACAAATGGTTGTAAACAATTGGTGACATGGCTCAAAATCGTTCTCAGTGGCGTAGGTGCATCCACTCCTTGAGACTTATGATTTCAGATGAAACTGTTTTGTTCTTCCTTATTACTTTTCCTTTGTCTCACACCTCTGCTCACTGTTTCTATTATGCTTTTCTTGTACTTTCTTCTCTTGCTTCGCGTGCTACACGGAGTGTGGCGACTTGAACTTCCGCACATTTGTGCAAAGTTCTATGTCGAAAACAGACAGACAGATATGAGGGCTGATGATAATATCCAGTTGCCGAAGCTGAGGTAGTCAGACCGGGACTCGAACCCGGAACACATTAGCTGTAAGCAGCAAGCTTAAACTGATGTGCCACTTTTATTTTTTGGTTGGTGTTAAGTGGCAGTGGAATCCAGCGTGTGCATTTCGTTATGTTTAGGACTTGTTAGCTCCATCTGCACGCTACCAGCTAGGAATGTAAAGATTGGGTTACTAAACAACATTTTCGACGACGTTTCTTCACTTGGCATAATCGATAAAAAAATAAGTAAATCATGACGTATGTTAACTGGCAAACACTTCTACTATCTATTGTTTGATAAGCAAAGGTTACGCAACAAATTCATTGCCATGGTATCATCATGTCAATGAAAATAGCACACTACTCACAAGGAACACTAGTGGACTTATAAATCTATAAGTTTCGAAAATGACAAGATCCTAATATCGCTGAAGAATTGTTATATAGATATGTGTTCCATTTAGGTTTTGCTAGGTGCGAGAAATGAATGATGACTGATGGTTAGTCAGCTTTCTATATCAAAAGAATTCAATTTAACGATTTGCTCACATCAAGGAACAGCAAGTAGTCAAGTTATAGTATTCATTCAGCTGAACTTGAAATTCTTCTCAGTGGATCAATAATAACGACAGATTTGGTCTATAACCTTCATATTTTTAAACCCTATTTACAACTGCAATCAATATCTGCAATAAATATGGGTTTTAGTGAAATTCGATATGCGGATATGAAGTTTCTGCCTGAATTGTTTGCCAATCGGGTGTTTTTTAAGTAGGAACCTTCAGTGAATTCTTAATCACCATCTTCAGTACGGTTTAAGGCTTAGCATTAAGCCTACAGACCACACGCAAATTACATTGAGGATAATGACTACAGCTCTTCTGCATTAGACACCAGGTAATACAATAATTCACTAGCTTTCTAATACAAAAAGGTACTTTAACAGTTTATATCACTCATAGTAGTAATGAGGAGTTATTAGGTAAGAATTGCATCGATACTATAGTCAGAATGAAATGAAACAGAACTAAAGGTTAAAACAATTACAAAGTAGTGCACATTTAATGTATACTTCTTAGATAAACTAATTTAGACTACAGTATCTGAAGAAAAGACACTGGGTGATCTGAACTTTCGCGGATGAGTATATCACAAACTCGAAGGTCTGTCTATAGGTGAAAACCAACCGATTGCCAGAAGAGCCACTAACTAACTTTGGGTGAACATATAGAAGAGAGAGAGATGATGAAGATACTCGGCGACTAACAACCAGCACCAATCACCATAAACAGAAGGAATTTGAAGGAAGTAACTTTTTCCAAGGATCTATGCAACATTGTCTAAACTAGAGGTATCAGAGGAATGAGGATGTCAGAGGCAGTCAGCACCGGAAAAAAAAGACAAATCTTCAATACTCTGATATCAGCACCAGAAACAAGATTTGGATTTTCGACACTAATATCAGGCCAGTGTTTCTATATGGTTCACAGACCTGTCGCACGCATCATAAAAACAATTTCCAACAGGCTGTGGACTTTTATCAACGGCTGTCTTTGCTTCATACTGAAGATCAGATGACCGACAGGCTGGTCAACCAGAAGAGATAAGCAGCGAAGAACTCTGGAAACAGACAAACAAAGAAATTATCGCCTAAAATGTATGCCGAGCAAAAAGGAGATGGATAGGACAGACGTTGGATTATATCGCGCGGCAGGTAGGCTCTCGGGTGGAACCCGAACGGGGAACCAAGAGTTGGGTGTAGATCTGAGAATGACATGGAGGAAATTGTATGGGGAGGAAATGAAGGCTTATGAACACTTGTGGAACAAGCTCAAAAGACTGTAGAGAACACGGTGGTACACAGATGTACTACTGAAGCTTTTTGTATTCCACTCACAACCCAAGGGAATAATAATAATAATAAAATAACACCCGCCTAAGTTCTCAAAAGCAAACAATTACCACGAGAAACGTGGATTTATTCACGCTTATACTACCACCCACAATAGAGAGAACACCAAAAGCCTTTCTAAAACCTCACGTTTCTCATCAGTAAAAATAAATCCAATCTTAATTTTTGAAAAAGATAAAAGAAAGATATTCATGCACTCCTGTAAAATAATCTCCATGGGAAGTATGCAGAGTACATGAACACCAATCTTTCAGGAAGTAAGTATTAATAGAAAAAGGAAAAAAACACCTTCTTCGATCACCAAAAAAAATAGAAAACTTGGGAAAATAAAAACTTATCTTCGAAGACCTGTTTAAATATCATGACATCCTTAAAAATGAGTTGCATCGACTTTTGAGATAACAAAAGTAAACAAGCTGTGAATCTTTTCAAACCAGACTATTTTAACTGAAGTACAATTAATGCCGAATAACACTGAAGAGTAGTAAGACTAAGATATGGTACTAATATCAAACTGTTGCTCCACACTATTGAAAAGCACTGTAATTTAAACTGGTACGCTTCTGTGTAGGGTTTTCCTATGACCTTACTGCATGAAAACCAGATTTTCCCATATTAATA